GGTTTTCAACCATCAGGGCCTATCCCTCGGAGCAAACCCTCGTCCTTGAGTAATTCTCGCTCAAAATCTGTACCTCCTTTCCCTGCAGAGCCCGGATTCAAGTCTCCCCCTTTGCCTGCCGTGCCTAATCACCATCGACCTAAAAGTTCCGCAGTGAAATCGTCAGCTTCCCAGAAGGATGATGATTTCCACGATCCACCCCCCATCCGGAGAACTTCCCCTACCCCTCGCACGTTTGGACACCGCTATGATTTTGGAGCATCGTTGTCAGCTGCAATGCAGCCTGGAAGCGCTGATCAGACCCGCCGTGGCAAACATGCTGACAAGACAACGTTTTCGCCCGACTCCATAGCTGGAAATCTTTCTGGCTCAATTATTCCAGACAAGTCCGCGAGGCGTGAACCCTTTGAGCCCCCCGCGGCAGCCTCTCCAGGAGTTTCTCAACTTCGTACATCCTCGCCTAGTCCGATGAGACATACCGACCTTGTGTCAGGACAACCTTCTCATCAGTCGCCACTGTACAAGGAACTCGTGGATAAGTACTGCTTCGTAGGTCTCCCAGAGCTCTCGCAGTAGAAAACTGCCCAGTGGATTGGTAGCTTTGAGACTGACATATATGAAACAACCAAGTATGGATCTTCCAAGACAGACTCACACGCAACAACCCATTTCTCTCGAAAATCACCTATCACCGCACCACGGGACAACGAAACCATGACAACTGATGCTCCTACCAGTGCGGAGTCTGCGTTGTCGCCGCCGTCGTCGCCTCAGGAAGCATCTGGTAATGAAAAGCAGCCATCTCCGTCGAAGCCAACCAATGACGATCAACGATCTCCAAGGCACATCTCACCCAGTCGATCCCCAGGGACCCCTGAACGGGCTTCTTCCTCCTCACCTAATCCACCTTGTCCGAATTGCTTTACTCTTCCATATCACCAGTCGATGCATATGACGTTATCTGAATCCCCCACTCAAACATTTATTCGAGGATAAATCCAGCAGCAGCGCCGGTCCGTTGTACGCTGTTTCCACCCGACTTCTAATTCCTCACGTGCACCACTCGTTGATTGATAGGAGGGTAAAAGGTGTAGCTACCTTTTCTTGAATCCTCTAGATCACGGATAGGGCCGCGGCTGTGATTGGATGAAGGAAAGGGAACGAAACGAAACGTAACGGAGTTGGCTGTTTATGTTTTTCTTCTACCCCCTTCATGACGGATGATTAAACTCTCCGTGCTATACTACTGTTATTAGCAGACCAACCTACCGTTTTCGGTATTACATTCCTATCACTGTTTGGAAAAAACTTGGACGGTGCCACTGAACATATGGAGAGGAGTTTTGCTTTGTGCGATTTAGTTGACGTCTTCATGTTTTTACGCCTTTCCCATGTCTCTTCCCATTTCCCATTTTTAATCTCTGTTTCTTTTTTTTTTTTTTTGGTTTCCACGGCCCTTGCTCTATCATGCGAGCCCCAATGATGAATGAGGGTAAAGGAGGGCTTGTCTTTTCTGTCCATGATGAGTTTTCTGGTAACTTACTGCACTTCCACTGACTTTTTGCGCTATTTTTTGTTTTTGTGTTCTTGGTTTCTTTCGTTTTGAATTCTGATGTATTACGATTTTCGAGCTTTTCTTCTACATTCTTGCTTGGCCCTGGATGAACTGCTGTTGCTTTTGTTCATCATTTTCTTGTCTTTTCTACTTCTTTTCTCCCCGGCTATGTTTCCTTCTTATTAACTGTGTCTCCTACTGTAACTTAATATGCGGGAGTTATGATTTTGTTGTAAGGAGTTTTGGCTGCATTTAATCTGGCGTTTTTTTTTCTTTTTTTCTTTTTCTTTTTGTTTTGTTTAATCTGGGGAATTATTATTTTTATGTCAGGCGTTGTTGGGCCCGGATCAAAAGTGTATTCCTCGCTTTTCCACCTCTCTCTCTCTTTATCTCTCTATTTTTCGAAAATCAAGCGGTTCGGGTATGGCGGTTTTCGTTCTTTCGTTGTTTTTTCATTACCTCTTTCCTAATCTATATATATATTTTAAATCATTGATGTCTTGGTTTTGTTCTTCGTCTCCCATAACTCTCTTCTTCTGCTCTCTTTCCGGATTCCTGTTCTCTCATGATCCTCAATTCTTTTCAGAGTGGTCTTTCCTGTTACCTCCTCTCCGCTCCAGCCGGTCAAGCCTTTAACTATTCATACCACTGACTTGTGATGAATGGATGACTGCTGAGATGATGGGGTTGAACTGTGGTTGATGGTGTACAGGGTAAATCAATGACATATGTTCGGTTCCTTCTTCTTTCCATTCATTCCTTCTTCTATGCCTCTGCTCTTCCCGGTGTATACGGAGTAGTCATCTCAATAGCTCCTCATCCATCTCACAAGTGCGATAGTATGAGAACGACGAGGTCCGCGCCAAGCCACTTGAAAAGCGGTGAGTGCGCGCCAAGACAGGCAGCCGGCAGAACCCCGCCAGCAAACCCTAGTTTCCACCCAGGCACCGCAGAGGAACAATAATCGGTGCAGAAAGAAGCGCTGGAAAGCAGCTCGCCTTAACCCGCTATCAACAGCGCCCTTCTTTGCTTTGGGAATCAGTTAATTGAGGATTTTTCCCGGCCCAACCACAACGCTTAGTCATCGGGCTTTTTTTTTTCCCTACGGAAACACGGGGCTTGCCGGTTGATTTGCTTTTGCTTTGCTTTATTTGTTTCTGGGTACTTTGGAAAAACTATTTAAGCCCGCATCCCCCCCACCTCCGGCTTTTCACTTTTTTTCCCTTGCCTTTCTTGCCTTTCTTGCCTTTCTCGCTTTAACACATTTTAAGAGAAAAAAAAAACAAGGACGCGTATTTTCGCCACACGCTATCACGTTATTCTCTTTTTTCTTTTTTTTTTTTATATAATTTTATTTTATCGAATATAATAAAAAAAAATAAACCATGACTGGACGTAAGTAAAATTATTTTTCTTTTTGATGACATTTGTTGTGGTTTTTTGCATCGTCATCGTCATCGACATCGGCCCCATCCATCCGTCGTTCGTCGCCAGAAGAGTTTGACGCCGGGGGAAGAAGGGAGGGAAGAGCCGTCGTCTTGGCACCGCCATGCCTATTCTGGCCCTTGCATGACGCCAAGCGCCTGTTGCGCTTGACTTGATGTCCCCCCACCAACACCACCCACCACCACGGACATTGGATCAGCTTCGAGAGATATTAAAAAAGAAAAAAAAAAGAAAAAAGTCTTCCACTGGTCCGGTGCTATATAAATGAACAACGATGAGAAGATGACGACCACAATGCTTGCTCCATCCATTCCAGAGACATGACACATACACCCCACCCCAGGCATCCTCCTACCCTACCCACCCTCTCCCCTATGCCATACACACATACATACAGAATATCTATCCTCTATTGCCATAAACAACCTCAACTAACCCAACTAACCCACCCAACAGGCGGAAAGGGCGGCAAGGGCCTCGGCAAGGGCGGCGCAAAGCGCCACCGCAAGATCCTCCGCGATAACATCCAGGGCATCACCAAGCCAGCCATCCGCCGTCTAGCCCGTCGTGGCGGCGTCAAGCGTATCTCTGCCAGTACGTCTACAGTCACACCCTTCCCTTCCCTTTCTTTTCCTTTCTTCTACCCCTTCACCTCCTCCCTCCCTTCCCTCCCTTCACGTTTTACGTGCCATACTGACTGTGGGTGTGAACACTAGTGATCTACGAGGAGACCCGCGGCGTGCTGAAATCGTTCCTTGAATCCGTCATCCGCGATGCGGTCACGTACACCGAGCACGCGAAGCGGAAGACGGTCACGTCGCTGGATGTCGTGTATGCGCTGAAGAGACAGGGGCGCACGCTCTATGGGTTTGGTGGATAGATGTTGGGGGGTTTCTTTTTTCTTTTTTCTGTCTTTTTTATGCTCGTGGATCGAAATCCTGGGCTGTGTGTGAAGGCCTTTGCATGCTGGTTTATTGTTTTGGGCTGGTTTTGGTTTTGGTTTTGGTTTTTGCTTGGGTGTTCTCTGATTTGATTTGATTTGATGGGTTGATTGGGAAGAGAAAGGGTTCTGGTACCCTTGTCGGTCAATTTGGCTCCCATCAATATACATGACCGTCCATCGTCGTCTTCGGACAGATCGATCAATGGGCTAGTTAAATGGGGAGGAGGGTGCTCATGACATTTTGATTCCTTTTTTGCCACTTTTTGACCTTTACTTGACAACCAAGTTATCAGTTGGCTGGATGGGGTTTGCTTAGGCTGGAAATTTTTGAGATTATTTGGGATTTTAGTTTAAGGGAAGGGAGGGAAAGTGAGAATTTATTTTACTGCCTTTACGTTTATTTATATTTTATTATTATTATTATTATTATTATTATTATTATTTTCCCTTCTGAAAACTGGGGGGGAGGGAAGAGTAGAAAGAAATCGAATTGGACGTTGTATTGATCCGGTAGCCAGCGTTGCTATATTTAGTTGCCCCGATGAGGTTATTTAGAACTCTATACCTAAACTGTCAGAGGGTATATAAGTGTGCATGCAACAAATCGAGGGGCAGGTCAAAGAATGAACAAATATAACAATTCAATTACACACGAAACCTGGCACATATGGCAAATGGAGGATTTATCTGGAGGGGAAGCGCCAAGACAAAGAGCTCGCAGTTGACCCCAGACGACGTCATTGGTTCCCCACTGAGCCCAGCCAAATCCGGATATATACTTGATACTTGCAGCATCCCTTAACCACTGCCCTGCACTCTTCGTCTGCAGTCGAGGAGAAACCATCCAATTTTCCCCTTTCATGATACTCATGTTCTTCTAATTCATCACAGTGCTCCTATTGCTTTGGGTTTCCAGAACAGTTCTCTAGAACTTTCTAGCTGGTTTCGAGCTCCGAGAGCTAGCTTCTCGCCTCGCAATCGGACACCTACATCCGTTCCGGGATAGCACACCAGCCCGAAGGGGGATAAAGAGGGACTACACTGAGGGAAATACACCTGGGGTGGAATTTTACGGGAAGCGATCGGATATAATTCACTGTTGTTTACGCCGTAACCCGCTTCTCATATATGAGCAATTGCAAACGAAGCAGGAGCTTGATATTCGGCGGTTTGATTTCATTCTAGTCTACTACTGCTACCCACTATGCCGAACGATCAAGATATTCCTTACGAAGCTTCAATTGTACGCCCCCCTTCTTTCCTCCTCTCACTCCCTCCTCCAGACCTAGAAAGTGAAATATTATACACAATCAAGACACAGAGCCTCACACATCCCCTGCCCCGGGAAAAATCTACGTAGGAACACTTCGAGCTCTACCACATCTACAATGACACCAGCAGCGATGATACGGCCTGCAGATACCGTCCAGACAGCGAGGATTGGAAAGCCGCTGTTCTGAAGGGCCCGGCGTTGCCGGCCCTTGGCCAGGGGATAGCAGGGGCCGCGGGTGCAGCTGTCTCGACTATCTCGACGTATCCGCTTAGTTTGATTGTTACGCGGTTGCAGTTACAGAGACAGTTGAGGGCGGTGAAGGAGAGGGATAGGGAGAGGAAAAGACGGAGTGAGAAGGGGAAGGGGAAAACGAAGAGTGAAGGTGTTGATATCGATGATGATGGAGATGGAGATGGAGATGAAGAGGAGTATAAAGGAATTATAGATGCTGCGAAGAAAATTTATGAGAATGAGGGCGGGTTGCGCGAGTTATATGCGGGGCTTACGCAGGCGACTGGAAAGGCCGTCATGGATTCATTTGTGTTCTTCCTTACTTATTCATTCTTGCGACAGAGGCGACTGCGCGCGAGGGGATTGAAGATGCATGGTAGCTTCCTGCCTGTGGTGGATGAGTTGGCTGTGGGATATTTGGCCGAGTCGTTTACCAAGTTGCTTACGATGCCGGTCTCGACTGTATTGACGAGAAAGCAGGTTGAGGGCCTGGTGTCAGCTTCATCATCAACAGAACCCGGGAAGAAGACGGCAAAAACACACACGTCTTCAACGAGTGATATAGTGTCCGCCATCATCACCGAAAAGGGTCTGCGTGGTCTCTGGGCTGGCTACTGCGCCTCCCTCATCCTCTCCCTAAACCCTTCCCTCACCTTCCTCCTCAACCAATTTTTCAAACTCTCCCTCCTCCCCCGCGACAAGCGCAGACGACCCCCTGCATCAGCCACATTCCTCTTCGCCGCCATCAGCAAGGCTATCGCCTCCTCCCTCACCTATCCATTCTCCATGGCAAAGACACGGGCCCAGGCCGCCACCGCCACAGCTACATCTGCACCTACTACACGCCCACCACCCACAATCCTCCACGCCATCTACAGCATCGCCCGCACCGAGGGCTTCGCCGCTCTCTACGCAGGACTCAGCGGGGACGTCCTCCGCGGCTTTTTCAGCCATGGCATCGCCATGCTCGCAAAGGACACGGTGTACAGGCTCGTGGTGCGTGCGTACTACCTCCTCCTTAGGATAGTGCGCCGGTATCCTTCCCCGGAGGAGTTATTGGCACGGGCGAGGGCGCGGGCTGAGGAAGTTGCGGTGGAGATGAGGGAAGGTGCTGGAGAGTTGGCGGCCAAGGCGGGCGAGAAGGCGGGTGATGTGAAGGGGGCTGTCGTTAAGGGGATGGCGGGAATGTCGGGGATCGGCAGTGGGAGGGCTGCGGGGATTATTGGCAAAGTGGCGGATGGGACGGCGGAGGTTAAGAGTAGGGTGGTGGAGGATGTGTATGAGGATTCGAATGCGACGGCGGAGATGGTGGGGGAATATGTAGAAGATGAGGCGGAGGAGTGGAGGAGCTTGTATCGGTGGTTTTGGGATAAGGGGAAATTGTGATTGTTCATTGGTTTTTTTTTTCTTTTTTCCTTTCCTTTGATTTTATTAATTTGGTATTTCGGAATCGATGTATTTTTCATGGTCGTTTTGAGTGGGGATTGTTGCAGGTATGGTATTCTAAGTTGCGAGCTGATGCTCATCCAGGGGTTATATTTATTAACTCTCCTTTCATCGCTTTTTATGTCACATTACTGATTATTATTTTGCAACACAACAAGAAAATAATGAGAAAAAGGAACAAAAACCGGTTTATTTCATGTATAAAAACAATGCCATCGCTTTAAGCACTCCGGTTCTGAATAGAAAACAATATCCACGCCGAAGTACGGAGTACTCTGTACAGATCCCGTAGCTACATAGAACCCGGGGATTTCTGTGGACGACGCCCGCACACTCCGCCCACTAGATAGAACCAATCAGACGTTCCAATAATTCATTACGGATACGTTGGCGTGAAATACTTGGTTACGTAATGCTACCCCAAGGTCACGGGATCATCCCTCGCCGGGCGACCGCCAAACCTCCCGATGTCCAGGCATGGCAACGCGGCTCCTGTCGCCTCCAACGCCTAATTCTCTCGAGGCTTCTCATTCACTTTCGTTTCGTCGGGCTGGTCCTGACATTCTTCCCATTTCCCATCCATTCCTTCAATTCCTCTATTCCCCGCGAGATATGGACCTCCGTGGAACCCCAGCCTCAAAGCCCGCCGCTGGTATCTCGAACTCCGCTGTTTGATATCTATATCCCACCCCACCCCACCCCACAACCACACTCACATTCACATTCAGATATTCCGCACCTTAACCGCCTTCCTACTCCCTAACAATTCCCTTACATTCCACCTACTGGATATATCACGGTATAGCTAGACGGCCATTGTTGCCTTCCGCACAAGGCCCACCGCTTCAACACCTTTCTCAACCCCAAAATACCCTAACTTACGCAATTATCGATATCAACTATGTCTCTCCTCCAAAACGAAGAGTACGCTTACCAGCCCCTTTTACCGCAATTAACTCTACCCGCTACCATCATCTACCGGGTAACTAACTACTTCCCCGCCTCTAGCTTTACCATCTGGCAGCTCCGCACCTCTTATCTCTCTGCAATTAAAGACGGCGTCGGTGACCGGCTAATAAACGTAAACTCCTCCATTCTCAACACCCCAGGCTTCCGTGCTGCAGGCTGGTCATCAGCCACTGGTGCCAATGCTTCCCAGATTAAACGCACCTACTCCCCTCCCATCCCCACCGCCACGGCTGTCGCGTCAGAGTATTTCCAGGCCAGTGCGCGGCAGAGCAGGAACTTCGGCGATGTAAATGGTGGTAGTGATGGACCCAATGATACTGCTGCGCCTGTGGGGCTTGGGTTTGGTATTGTCGAAGATGGTGACGATGAAGAGGGTGTGATGGTGACGGGCGGGAGGGAGAGTGTCAACACTATTAGACAGCGACAGCAGAAGAGGGCTGTGGGGAGGAAGGCGCGGAGAAGAGAGAGGTTGGATATGCATAAATCGCAACAGCAGCACCGCCAGGGTGAGGCTGAGGATGATGATAGTAGTGATCTCAGCGATGAGAGTGATGAGGAGATTGACGGGGTTCACAGGTATGGTTTAACTTGTTTTTGGAGATTAGCATAATATTTTCTTTCTTTTCTTTTCTTTTCTTTCTTTCTTTCTTTCTTTCTTTCTTTTTTTTTTTTTTTTTTTTTTTTTTTTTTCTCATATCTCGCTAACTACTTTGCAGTTCTGTACAGCAAATCAAGTTTACAAAAATGCCGGTCCGACGAACCCGTGCTGGTTCATCTCCGATACGGAGCCTGGATCGTCGTGATAATCCTGACGTTTTTGTAACATCGCCTTCATTAAGATCCGTCAACAAACAGCACCGGAGGGGCTCCCTTGGTGCGGTTGAAGCAGTAAAAGCTCGAGCTCGCAGAAACACGGCTACTAGTAGTGATATGTCATCAGATAACGAGGCAGATGGGGCCACTGCGAGGAGACGCCAGATTCATTTTTCTAACAATGAGGACGTGATCAATCCAAATGGCAAACCACCGAGCGAAAAGCTGGATGAAGAAGATGAGTTGGAGATAGGAAGCATTGATGACGCCATCAACGAGCATGACGAAGATTCAATTGCCGAGTCCGAAGGATCTGTCCTCTCATCTGAGTTCGGAGGCACTGCTGGTTCGGGATCGTTGTTGGATCGCGTTGGATCGTTAGATTCATCTTCTCCGATGATCCTCAATAAATTACCCATGACTCTTGAATCGCAGGGTACTTCGCCAAGGAAACAGAAACAAACAGCTACCTCAGCCGAGTTAAACGTGCTCCCACCGCCTCGGCCCATTAGCACTGTTGAGCCCATCAGCCTTTTGTCTACTGCACTCCGAGCGCGAAAGAAAGCGCCCGCCAACCCTTTGGAGAAATATGCGGGGTTATCGGGCAGAGGGTCCAATGCAACTCCATTATACATCAAATTCTTTATTCCGTCCTCCTCTCAGCCGGACGAAGCCTTAGATATGCCAATTGTGCGAGAATCAAAGGAGTTAGATCATCCCGGGCCCGTTACCGTTGCTGAAGCGATCGGGCTCGGTTTATGGAGATATATGGAAGAAGGCCTAAAGCCGCCCCTCGAGGGAGATATGCTCAATGTAAATCGGTGGAATCTTCGGATGATGGAAGATGGCGAAATTGACTATGATTTCCCATGTTTGGCTAGGGGCAGACCAATCATCGACTTTACCTCTAATAACAATCGCGCCCCTGCGGCCCGGGGCCGGTCGAGGAGCAAACCCTATGATGAATTTGCGCTTGTGAAAGCGACACCAACTGAATTCGCAGAGAATGAGAAGCAGTATCCCACCCCGAGAGCCGATGCTGTCGATGAGCCTGAAGTAACCCAGTCAATAATACAAGCCAACCAAGCCAATGCTAAAAACAGGATGTTCGGAAGGATCAATCCCATCCTAGGTCAGCCATTTTCATCTGCTTTGAATGATAGCACTCTCACCCCCGCTGACCGCCCCGCCGTACCTACATCACACGCGACACCCAGAATGGGCGTTACAAAGACTTTGAAAATCCGATATATTGACCTGGACGCAACGCAAACAACCTCAATGAACACATCTACAGACAGTTACATCGCCGAAATTTTAGATTCCGTCTGCAAAAAATGGGGCCTGGACAAGGGCCAATACCTCCTTAAAGTCATGGGCTCCAACACTGTCGCTCCACTAGACCGCACTGTCGAAGCCCTCGGCAGCATTACAGACCTAGACCTCGTCCGCCGCCGATTCGGTGCTGGTCCGCTCTCCAGTACGGGATCCCCAGGCAGCTCCTCACCCAACGCGCCGCTAATGGTCGAAAACACATCCCACGGCACCAGCTCCAAGAAGGGCAAAAAGGGAGCCAGCAACAACACTGGAAGTGGGCGCATGCTGCACCCCCTCGCGCACTCCCAAGATCTCCTAGGCGGCTACTACCGACGCTACAACGTAATCCGCAAACAATCCATGTCCTTCACTGCGTCGAACCAACGTGTGCTCGCGTTCGACATGGACTACATGCACATCATGCCAGCGGAGTCGGGCAAGACGCTCTTCGAATCGAACAGCAAGACGACGTCGATATCGTTCAATGACGTTGTGGGTTCGAAGATTAGCCGGCGGCATCCGAAGAGTTTCCGGGTAGTGGTGTTGAGGGGAAATGCGGCGAGCGAGCAGAAGCGGTATGACTTTGAGGCGAAGACTGCGGTGGAGGCGGTGGAGATTGTGGAGGAGATTAAGAAGAATATGTCGCAGTCTCGCGTGTGATTGCGATTGTGGATTTCTGGATTTCTTGTACCTTTTTCCTTGTTTTTTTTTTTTTTTTTTTTTTTTTTTTTTTCTCACTCTGGCGCTTGTGGTGTATAGGCATAGCTCTGTGATGGGTTAAAGGTCATGTATATACTTTGGGATTGAATTGGTCGTATTGTCTGGGAGCGTGAAAATGGACTCGATCATCATCATTCATGCTTTGGCTCTGGTTTTGCTGTCATTCAGGCCTTCCCACGACATTTCGTCTTTTATTCTTGGTGTTTTAGGTTCTTTCAGCAGGAAATAGGATATCAACAGGCAAAGCAGGGAAATCAAATGTAACATCCATCCCTTCGACTCAGTCAATTCAGGAGGATATCTTTCATGTGTCATTGATTCTGAATGAAAGAAAGAAAGAAAAAATAAAATAAAATAAAACAAGATGTGTTTGTATTTTATCTTATTCTGAGACATATCCGGGCCTCTCTGGCTTCGAGCATATTTAAAATGTATGTACAGTACATACACAGAGTGTAAGAAATGTATATGTACTGTACATACTAAAATCTGTAGTAGTAGGCCACACAATCTTTAAGTAGGAGTCTCTGTAGTGCAGAGAATTGGGCAATTTGGCTAATAGGATACTCCGTAGACATGAGGTTAGATCTCTATATATCCATGTCAGGAATTGGACAAGGGAAGTCTTTTGTAGCCAACTCTGGTTGTGGTACATCCATCCGCAGCCAGAATTGCCCGCCCGCCCAAGTACCGCCGCCGCCCAGAGCCAGCCCCGCCCAACACGCTAGCGGTGGCAACCCTGGGGCATAGTTACTGCGTACTTACGTACATACTATACTTGAACGTGGTGCTAAAGCAGTTGATTGTGGTGCTACTTTTCTGGACCCAACGTTCAAACTTTAGCGCTTCCCTCTAAAATACACTTCCACTACCCACGTTACATTACACATAATAATACATAGATCCTTACTAATACAGTCTGACTGTCCCCATCCCATCCCCATCTCAACCTTTAGGTTCTTATTAGTTGTAGAGATGTAGATTGGAGGGTTAAAACCTGGGATTAGTATTAGAAATAGTTAGAATGAGTTATAATCACAAGAAATATGAAGAATGTAGGTGTAGAGATGAGATGATGTGCTAGAGATGTCTAGTGCATGGTAGTTTTAATGGGGTGCTGCCATGGGTCCAGGTTAAAATTGGGTTGGAACCACACTGAGCTGTTTTTCCGGCCCGAGCTGGCAACCACGTTCAAGTGTTGTTGACACCCACGCTCAACTGTAACCAAACCCGGCAACGCCGAAACCGTCCAGCGTCAGTTCCCAGTCTCAAACCCACCAACCAAACCAAACCAACCAAACCAACCAACCAACCACCTCAAACCTGCTGCTGCTATGATCTATCCCACAACAACCTCTTCTGCCCCCTCTAATTGCTCCCCGCAGCTGCCATGCAGTTCTGACCTGTCTATCCTCCCCTCAGTCAGAGCCATTGCTGCATCCCGTTACGCCTGTTGACCTCTCCCCCTCACCCTAGGTTCGTCTCGCCCTCGGATCCGTCTTATTCCGGTCACTCACGGCCAAGTCAACCTCCCCCTCATCCATCCATCCCCTAATTATCTGCCAACCCCTGGTTCCTGAAGCTAAGAGATAGAGAATTCATACATTCGTCTGCACCGGAAAAAAGGCAGAGACACCAGACTCCCCCAGAATAAGGGCAAAAAGCGCAATTACACAGGAGCCCATGTGGATTAGCACGTCCAAGGAGGGAAAGGAACACCATCTTTCGACCTCCCCTCACTGACGTCTTATCCTCGTCATTGCTACTGTGCACGGAGACCTTGGTGAATAACCTCACAGGCTCCTATTTTGGTGGTCCATGCGGAGTCTAGGAAACTTGCTGAAGAAGAAGCGGACGAAGGACTCGCGCAACTCGAGGGACCTGGATCTGCCCGCTTCACCAGTAGCGGAATCGCCGTCTTCCCGCAAGAGTACTAGTATCAGCACAAACAATCCTGGCTCTCCAACAGCCATTACTACTTCACCACATCCTCCTCCTCTAAACCCCCTGGTCCAGCATCCTGCGGCTTCCAGTCTTGATTCCTCTCGGCCATACCCCGCTTCCTCCACCCGCACCGATAGTCTCAGTGCGCAGCCTGCCACTACAACCACCGCTCCCACAGCTACTACTACGACTACTGCCCCACGAGACGCAGCAGCAGAGGTAACCGCAGCGGCAGCGGCAGCCTCGTCGCTAGCACCAGCTGTTTCCTCTAGTCCTGTAAACACTTGCGCAACCTCCACCACTAGCAACAGCCAGCCTTCCCTACCCATGAACCCCATACCATCTTCCACGCCCTTTTACTCTAATATCGCGAGCGATCCCTCCCAATTTAAGCAACAGCAGCAGCAGCAACCTCACCACTATCAGAATGTTGCCAGCATCAAGAATATCATAAACCCGCCCAATCAAGACGAAGTGGAGTCATCACAGCAGAGAGTTGGCGATGGCCAACATGTACCATCACAGCAACAACCGCAACAACCGCAACAACCGCAACAGCACGAACAGCAGCAACAGTACGAACATCAGCAACAACAAAATGAACAGCAACGATCTGTCCAGTCTACACGACAAACCAAGGGGAAGTACTCACTAGATGATTTTACGCTACAGCGGACGTTGGGCACCGGCAGCTTCGGGCGTGTGCACCTGGTTCAATCGCGGCATAACCAACGATTCTATGCGATCAAGGTGCTCAAGAAGGCGCAGGTGGTGAAGATGAAGCAGGTCGAACACACGAATGATGAGCGGAAAATGTTGCAGCGGGTTAAGCATCCGTTTCTTATCACGCTATGGGGCACGTTTCAGGACGCGAAGAATCTCTATATGGTTATGGATTTTGTGGAGGGTGGGGAGTTGTTTAGTTTACTGAGGAAGTCACAGGTATGGCGAGATCTTCTATGCAGCATTTGAATCTCCATAATATCATTTTTTGTTTTGCTTTCTTTTTCTTATTCTTTTTCCTTTTGTCACTAAATTCGCCATTTGGTTCAATTAGCGCTTCCCAAACCCCGTTGCAAAATTCTATGCTGCCGAAGTTACGCTGGCGTTGGAATATCTGCACGACCATCACATCGTATACCGAGACTTGAAGCCGGAGAACCTACTTCTCGACAGACACGGCCATTTGAAAATAACGGATTTTGGATTCGCGAAGGAAGTTAGGGATATTACATGGACATTGTGTGGCACGCCTGATTATCTTGCACCGGAGGTGGTGTCGTCGAAGGGATACAATATGTCTGTCGACTGGTAAGTTATATACACCTACCTACCTTTCATTTCTGACCTGTTCCCTCCGATTATTCTCTCCCGCCCTAAACCGCCAAACTAAATTAAACCAATTTACCTGACTGGAAAAGTAGGTGGTCCCTCGGCATCCTAATCTTCGAAATGCTCTGCGGTTTCACTCCGTTTTGGGATGGCGGCTCCCCTATGAGAATCTACGAAAACATCCTCAAATGCCGCGTCAAGTACCCGCCTTATATGCATCCAGACGCCCAGGATCTCCTCTCCCAGCTGATTACGCCAGATCTAACTGTGCGACTTGGAAACTTGCACGGGGGCTCGCAAGACGTGAAGAACCATCCATGGTTTGCAGAGGTGACGTGGGATCGATTGGCGAGGAAAGATATTGATGCCCCGTACATACCGCCTGTGAAAGGTGGGCAGGGCGATGCGAGCCAGTTTGATAGGTATCCCGAGGAAACGGAGGCGTATGGAGGTGGCGGCGATGATCCGTATGTTTCTTCTTTCTATCCTCAATTTTCCTACTTTATTTCTCGCCTACCTGTGTGACTATCTGCCCGTCTCTGTGCTCTGAAATATGCGTTCTCATGTCAAAGAAAAGGAAGAGAATATTGTCTTCGCTAACTTAATACCAAATTGATTTAGATATGGTCATTATTTCGTGGACTTTTAAGTTTTGCGGAGGAATCGACTAACGAAGTATGGAAACGGAACAGAAACGAAAAAAAAAGAGACGACAGAAAGGAAAGCAAAAAAGGATAGATCACCTCTGTTTAAGTGTCAAAAATTACGCTGCCTATCTACTCCTCTTATATTGGTTTGCTATCTATGCAACAGAAAATAACGGGGAAAAGTGTCTTCTTTCTACATACTATCTTCTTCGCCACGTTCGTCCTCCAACTTCTTCTTCTTCTAATTTATTTGCATTCTTATCTGCATTTGGATGGGGTTTCCTCTTCTTATTCTTCTTCATCTTCATCTTCATCTTCATCTTCATCTTCATCTTCATCTTCATCTTCATCTTCATCTTCATCATCTTCATCTTCATCTTTCATCATCTTCATCTTCTTCATCTTCATCTTCATCATCTTATTCTTTTGCCATTTTATTCTTTTGGACAATATTGTCTAGCTGTTTTAGTTCTTAGGGCACCCCCTTTCTGGTGTCCACTTCCTGTATCCATGACCCTTCTTGGCTTGTTGTTTTTACTTCTTCTTTCTTATCTTCTTATTGCTATTAACTTATCTAAGTTAGCAGGGGTTTTCTTTTTTTCTCCCTTCTTGGCTTGTTGTTTTTATTTCTTCTTTTATCTTCTTACTGCTATTAACTTATCTAAGTTAGGTTAGCACCTACTTCTCTATATTACATAAGTTTCTCTTGCTTTCTTTCTTTCGTTCTTTTCTTTTCATCCTTTCTCTCTTTCCCCTCGCCCCCTCGGTATGGTTAACTGGAAATTTTATTATAGTTATATTCTGATTAATCAGCTTCCAGGGCACCGTTTTTATCACATTTTTATTTTTGTTTTTCTGCACTCCGTTCGTTGTCCCTTTCCTTGTTTGGTCAAAATAGGATGGGCATATGCGGTATAAGGAGGGCCTGGTGTGTTTTTATATAACTATATGAGGTTCATTTGGAGAAATGAGGGCAATGTTTTGAATGACATGATGCAAAAGTAGCAGTCAGGGATAAAGAATATCTGATTCGACACTTGACACTGACACTGGGATAACCTCTCTTGCCTGATTCTGGTCATATTGTAATATAAGAAAATATTATCTGTTGTCTTTCTTTTGTTGCCTTCTGTTGACGGAAGAAGAATTGTTCCTTTTCTCATTTACAGTATAAACTTAGTCGTATGCCTGGTCCATTTTTCCCCCCCCTAAACGTTCCTATCCTATTTTCCTATCATTCATCGAACATATCCCAATACCCCAAGTACGTCGGTGCTGTCTCGTTTAGTTGCGTTTCTACAACTATGCATTTTCCAATAGAAAAAAGCAGGCTTAAAAAAGGAAAGGGAACGGAACTGAAAACGGGATAGACACAGTACACTATAAATACAGAGAGATTATCACGAAGAAAAAAAAGTGAAAAGAAAAGAAAACCAACCCCCCTCCGGGAAGAATTTAGGAGGGGAGGACAAATGCAAGGGGGATATAAGTGACGTATTCTCTATCGTTCCCAGCCAAAGCAAAAATCAACTCAGAATGGCGAAAATAGATGGAAAGGTCTGTCCAGCTCATGGCTCTCACATAACTGTACCGGCGGGCCGTGATGGATCGAAACAATCATATACTATCCTCTTATCCCAATCTCATTCCATCCATCCATCCATCCATCCATCAAGCTAAATCATGCCAGTCAATTCCAATCCAAATCCACCTTCCACCAACCACTCCACCCTCCCCGCTCAAACAATCTCAAAACTAAAAGATACCGCCGCTCCCATCCCCGCTCCCGCCAAACGACGAGCTACCGCCAACGCCGCCCATCTTCTGTTCCTGGTTCACGCGCGCCCCATAGGCACGGCTCGTGGCGTTCCATAGCTGGATGTATTTCTCCATGCAGGCGGTGAGGCAGGTTTGTTCCTTGGAGGAGAGGCTGGAGCCTGGGGATGGGATGCATTTTTCGAAGCAGTTTTCGTTTACTTTCTGGATTTTGGGAGTTAGGTTAGGGCTTGGGTTTGGAGTGTTTTTTTTATTAAAAATTTTCTTTTTGAGGGGATCGGGTATTTTTGGAGAGGGCTGTGGAGGGAGTGAAAGGGGGAGAGAAGAGAGAGAGGGAACTATTATTACGTACGGTTATGAGGGAACGGGCGTTGTTAACGGCAGCCTCTTGTTGGACCTGGGTTATTATTGCGGATTTGACGTCGGCGGAGGTTTGCGGGGAGGCAGAGCCGGTTTGCGAGAAGGGGTTTGATAGGGACATTTTTGGATTGGGTGGCTGTGGCTGTAAATGCAGTAATCATGCGGAGAGGTTCTGACTTGGGGGAATTGGTGAGGTAGTTGTGATAATTGAAGGCTTCTTTATTCTCTTGAATCTTAGTTGTTCTGGTGCTACTGAGCTTTTTGATATATCGGCGCGGCGAGGGAAAGACTCGGCCGCAGCCTGCTTACCTCATCGTCACATGACTGGCTCTCGCGGCCTAGACGAGAAGTGGACAGATTGATCTTCAACGTCGTCAACATTGAGCGAATACACTGCGTACAATAGCTGCAAGAGCTGCTACAACCTCAGCCAACAGTCGCTGTATATTCCTTGCCTATATCCCCTACATTTTCTGCCTGCAGGGACGCAAGGAAACTTGAGCGGGATCCTTTACACGCTCAATGCGTTCTTTCCAAGCTAGCCACCCATTCTGATCCCCAGCCTGTTCTACGCTTTGCCAGACACGGGCATAAAACTCGCTGATGTCCTGGTGACACGACACTCCTTGATGACCTTCCTTTCTGGCAGTCGTCGCATTTACCCAGCTTTAATTTCTCCTGCGCGTCTTGAATTGCCCCTCAGTCAGCTACGACCGGCGTCTACTGACCCCCGCATCCTCCGCCTCTGCCCTCTGCACCCGAACCTCCGCTCTGAAGCAAGGAACCATGCTGTTACAAGCGCTCCCTTGCCTTTGGCTATGGGTGTTGGGCCTATGCCTGGGTCTGTCCCATGCCTCTGATGATCCTCATGATTTCGAGGACCATGCCGACGTTAAACGAGTTCCTGTATGTTGCTTTCACAAACGCCGCGTCGTATTGTTTTGTCGATTCAATCACTAATCATTGACTATTTCTTTCACTTGCGCTTCTAGATGATCCCCTACAGTATATCTCAAGTACGTTAAAAAACAACAGTCTGAGCTTCCATAGTGGCTATGGACGCGAATTGACGTAATACACCCCCCGGTAGCCGTATATAGATACCGAGTCGGAAAGCCGTTGGTTCGATTATGGTGGTGATACCGTCATTCGCACGGATCAGTATGTTTTGTTCTCTCCGCTTTGACTCTACATTCCCAGCCAAGTTGTTATACCTACTTATCCTTGCCAATTAGATATATTCGTCTTACTCCGGATCGACCATCGCGACAAGGCTGGCTATTCTCTCGCGTTCCGTTAACCGCGACTAATTGGCAGGTCGGTGCCGTTTCTTCCGCGGCGCAATGAATAACCAGAGGGAAAGTGCTAAATGTAGGTCTTGATATAGGTCGAAGTCGAATTTAGCATCCACGGCGAAGGAAACCTTCATGGAGATGGTATGGCGATATGGCTCACCAAACAACGCTCAGCTAAGGGCCCTGTATTTGGCTCCATAGACAAGTTCGAAGGATTGGGTATCTTCTTTGACACGTATAAGAATAATCGCCCATCCGTTGCGTTTCCCTATGTTATGGCTATGCTGGGCGATGGTCAGACATCGTATGACCAGGCACATGACGGCAAAGCCAATGAGCTTGCTGGATGCTCGGTAAGTTGCACCTTCGAGTACTAACTCTTATCTATTTCAATGCCCAATACTCCAGCTAATGTCAAAATGAACCAGGCTCGAGGACTTCGTGGCGCATCCGTCGCTACAAAGGCCCGTATAACCTACTTCCAAGACAAGTTCCTCGCCCTCGACCTGCAATACAAATCGGACCATTCCTGGACCCCTTGCTTCACCGTTGAAGCGACCGAGCAACAATCTATAAACATACCCACTGTCGCCTACCTCGGTATGTCCGCCGAGACCGGCGAACTCAGCGACAACCATGACATCATATCTATCAGCACCTACTCGCTATATGACAAGGCGCCGGAAGACAAACAGACTGGCTCCCGCGGTGCTGGTAGGAAGGCTACTCAAAAGTCAAAGACTGGGAAGGGAAGCGCTTATAGTAGGAGTGGTGATGATGGTACTGGTGCCGGGGGATGGTTTTGGTTTTTCTTTAAGATCATCATGTTCCTATTCCTTATTCTGGCGGCATATATTGGTTTCACGGCTTTTAGAGCCAGTCAAAGACGGAGGTTTTGATATCGATATTTCCGTTGTGATGAATGATAGTCGAGGTTGTCATTTTCTTTCCCCCTTCCTCACCCTAAATTCTTATTCTTCCGTCCTAAATTGTTTCTTATGTGTATTCTCTCAGGGTTCCTTGCGTTTGCTGGTTGTAGCATTGTTTCTGCATGCATCATATATACCTTGATTTTCTGACGGCTCGAGCTTCGCCGGTTTTTACTACCTTTGCTCTTTCTTTCTTTCTTTCTTTCTTTCTTTCTTTTTTTTTTTTTTTTCACTTTCCACCTCCTAAACAATCTCCCTTTGCACCATTTCTTTTCCCAGCACTTGGATAAACGAGAAGGGTTGACTTACTCATTATCAAAAGCGCAATTCGAAGATGAAAACCAAGGAAAGAAAGAAGAAAGGATCGAAATAAATCTTGTGACCAGGTCCAAATTCCTGATTTAATTCCCTTCTGTTCCAAAGGGCGATTAGGTCATCTCAGATGTCTTCAGAATGCTTTAGTGGTTGTGTGATTAGCCCTGGAAACTCAACTCATCTCTGCAACGCCAGGGGCATGCACAAGATAATCCGCCCGCCTAGTGTCCCCTGTTAGCAAAAAGCCCTATTAGCGGTGACCTAAGTCAGGAAGGTTCTGAACTCTGCCTCAAGTTACCCCGCCTCAAATCGACAGGGAGCAGATGTCGTCTCTCCGCGTGGGCTCAGTAGAAGTAATATCTAAACTTACCCCATCAGCACGTATCCTTTCAAATAAGCACCCTTTACGCCAACCTCGCCTGCCCGGTCATCTTACCGGTGGAATGGTTTGATGCGTTTATTTAAGCTGGATGGAGTGATAATTCTTGGTGACGAGTAAATAGAAACAAGATGATGATCTGATAAGATATGAATTTGTGTGTTGTATTTTCGGTACTGGTAATACATAAATATATTTCAATATCATGTGAGCTAGTTTGAAGAGCCAACCTTGTCCCAACATCAACCGACGAACTAGTTTCACTTTCGCTCAGAATCGCCGAAGACTGATATGGATGTTCTGATCAGCCCAAGTGATGATAATCTACGGCTCTTATCGCATTTACGTCCCTGCGGCACCCGAGACATGACATCACTTGCTCTCTTGCTATATCCCGACAATCTTATTTTCGGTCTCTAGGAGATAAACGGTGCTCAGATGATATAGAAACCGCCCTGGCTCTAGCGGCAACGCTCACGGGACATTACACGATTTTGGCGGTAAAAAAGGGGAAAGAATGGAAAACGAATATTCCACCGCCCAACGAAGCAAATTTCGCTTCAAATCCAAACACCGCGCCTCGCGCTCCAGATCAAAATCAGAAACGCCACACGATGATGGCAGCGATGGTACTAAATCACAATCATCATCCCACCCGCGCCGCTATCGCCGTCGACATCATCGCCACCGGCCCTCTAAACGCCACAAGTCTTCCAATACCCCCCCTCCAACGTATGAAGAGCCTCCTGAACTGTCTCCCGACGCTGCATTCCGTGAATCCCTCTTCGACGCCTTAGCTGACGATGAAGGCGCGGCATACTGGGAGTCGGTATATGGCCAGCCGATTCATACCTACGCCCGTCCGGATTTGGGTGGTGAGCTAGAGCAGATGACAGATGAGGAATATGCGGCATATGTGCGTGCGCGCATGTGGGAAAAGACCCATGAGGCGGTTTTTGAGGAGAGGGAGCGAAGGAAGAAGGAGCGGGAGAGGCAAAGGGATGATAATAGGCGGACGCAAGGGGGGAGCGAACGCGAGTCGTTTGAGAGGATGATTGGGGAGAGTTTACGGAGGGGCCAGGAGAGGAAGATGAAGAAGCGTACGGCGGATGTTTGGTTGGATATCTGGAGAAGGTATTTGGATACTTGGGAGGATTTGAATGCGCGAGCTCGTGCTGCGGCGTCGAAAGCAGCAACAGCATCATCGTCGTCGACTTCGAAGGATACCGGCCCTTCAGTTGACAAAATGAACGAAAAACTTCGAAATCTCATTTTTTGGCCTGTTGAATCGGGTAAGCGAAGAGATATTACTCCCGGGGCCGTGGAGACGTTTATGCGGAACGCGCCTATTCCCACCCCGGCGGACACCCCTGCCTCTGGTTTAGAGCAGCGAGGAAAGCTTCAGTCCCACCCATCTGACCTTCTTACTGTTTTGAAAATTGAACGGGTCAGATGGCATCCGGATAAAATGCAACATCGATATGGAGCACTTGGGATGGAGGATCAGCTCATAAAGGGCGCCACAGAGGTTTTCCAAATACTAGATCGTATGTGGGTGGAGGAGCGCGAGCTGCGGGATAGGGGATGATGGATTCATAGGATGATGGGTTCATGATATATTCTACGATTTTCTTCCACGCGTGGGATTCAATTTTGGGAGTTCATTTCTGAAACTCATTCTACAGCCCCTTGTTGACACAATATTGCTGATCATGACCAGATATTGGTCAGATAAAGGCGGCAGATTGGAGATTTTGGAAGTGCTGGCGGCAATATGCGGGGACACTCACCCCTGCCGTTCTGGTAGCTAACCTGTCGAGGCATTTGGAACTGGCATCTCTTGCTTCGTTATGTCACCTTGGCACTCTAAATAGGCAAACATTTTCGAGGACAACACCACGGCTAAGGTGGACATGACATCCGGAGATTTCTTTTGTTCAGACAACATGGAAAAAATCCTATGAGTAGCCTTATTGTGGAGATATAGCCAACCTACATCTCAATACTACTACACTAAACTCAACCCCAGCCGCGAAATTCAATTCTCGTCTTGAAAATATCCGGTCGCCCAAGACAAACTAACTTCGTACCTTAGCTTCGGTCATATCATGGGAGTTCTAAGTGACAGAAGCTTAGCTTTTTTTCTTCGTACCTGTGGGGACCGGCCGATGACATAAAATAAGCGAATGCCACGAGGCCGTATGACAGAGGCATGGATGCCACTGGATGGTTGCGCTTTGGAGTCTGCACTCCTGTTAAATGGGGCCATACTAGCGCGAGATCCCCTTTTCTAAAATAGTAGCTAAATCAAGAGGACGTCATCGCCAAAAATCTATTTTTAGAGAAAGTCGATACGAATAATGTTAGCAGCTATAAGCCTCATCTCTTTTATTTCGTTAGAGAAATAATAAAGCTGGATAAATATCTGATGGTGTGGACCTCACCTACATAGGTATTATATACATCTGATGGAGGTGGAAGGTTGGTTGATTGTACACTAATCTAGCCGCGCAGCATTCTATAGGTGTATGGGTCACGTGGCCTCATATAGGGCATCCGGCCAACAACATCCATTAGTTAATCCAAATGAGGAAAAGACGGGATCTAAAAATAAACATCTCGGCCCGGGTGCGCGGACTCGGGCCGCACTTTTCGGTATTCGCCAAGAACCACATAACTACTTCAATTTTAGCAAGGTCAGAAACCGGAGACTTATGCTACTTACCCATAACATCGTGAAACGATAGCCCGCCACCACACGAAAAGAACTACGACAACTGCAAATTTGCAATTGTTGGACCGTGACGACGACCATCTTGGCTTCAACCGTCAAGCGTCATGCAAGGATCGCCAACCATCGTTGGACTGAGTTGGGAACCCATGTAGGGTTTTTTCAGGCTTCCAATTGATGAACATCTTCTAGTTAAGTCCAACATGAGAGGTAGGTAAACGTATTCTAGACATGCGGGTAGAATTGCTCTGCTTACAGGCTTATTCAGCTTAGTCAAAAGCTCCTTAACTATCCGCTCCAAGTGTGTCGATATCTTGTCGAACCTCCAGATGCCTATGACCCTAAATTCTTAGAGTGGTACTCTCAGTACCACTTAATTCTCCATGTGCGGTTTTGAACCCTTTGTGAACCAGCACATCATTTGATGGATTATCGATTGCGTAACCTCACACCACCTCCCGTCAGAGCCACTCTGGAGTTACGCGAGCCCCAGTAAATGGTCGAGGATATCTGCCAGCAGCGGGGCTTCCCATGGCATAGGAAAGTTTTCTCGTCCCAGTCTGCTGGAGCGTTATTCCAATAGCTCAGCGCATAAGGGGCCATTCATCTGTCAAAACAGATAAAAGGATCGAGATTCTTCCCATTTCCTCTCATCCATAGAAAGGACAGTTGAATATTTTCTGGCATTGTGTCCTTTGCTCTTTAAAGATACTCATGAAAACTGAGGCAAGAATCCCTTTTTAAATATGTTGTTCCGATTTATCCCATGCATCCTGGCTTTGCTGCTGCTATGCAAAGGTTTCTACGCGGCGGATTGTTCGCTCATTGGCCCCGCGTTTCCCGCACCTCGAAGCCTTTCCCGTTCATTGACCTGGAAGAGAGCATTGGACGATTTTGAATCCAACCTCAAAGGGCTTCTTCACCAGTCAGCTGACTTGGATGCCAGCACTACGTCGTTTTCAATCAATATCTTCTCTAGTCACGAGGAGAAGCTCCTATACGAGTACCATCACGATGCCCCCGGGCTTAAGGGCTCAATTGCTGAGGGTCAAAAACTTAATGGTGACACAATGTACCGGATTGCCAGTATCTCAAAGGCTATGACTGTATACGCTTTTTTGATCGAAACAGGATTCAAATATTTCAACGAACCGATTGCAAAATTTATCCCAGAGATTCAGCGTGCGATCTGGAAGGAAGGCCAAAATCCAGACGATACCATAGTTCCACAATGGAGAGATATCACGGTTGGCTCTCTTGCAAACCAACTGTCAGGAATTGCGTGAGGAAAGTTTCCATTTTGCATTTTCCTAGTTCCAAGCTCCTTTCGCTAACCAACCCATAGACTATTCGAACGACATTGCCGGCAAAGTAAATCAAACTATTGCCGCTCAGCTGGGACTCCCAGCTTTGAGCAATTCTAATATCCCACGATGTGGAGAGAGGGGCCTACACTTCGACCCGTGCACCCGAAGCGGTAAGCATCTAAACCAGTTCCACTTTTTGAAACTCATGTCCTAATCCTTGGTTTCGCAGAGATGTTCGCGGAATTAATGGAACATCATCCGGTCTTTGCTCCATTTAGTACTGCAATCTACTCTAACGTGGCCTTCGATATCATGGGATATGTCCTCGAGCGAATCACGGCCGTTCCATTTGAAAAATCTGTCAAGCGTTCGATCGTCGACCGACTCAAGCTCAAGCGTTTCGGTATCGAAACCCCTCCTGACGCCTGGGGCGTTATTCCATTTGATCCTCTGACGTCTCATTGGAACACTTCACGTGGTTCTGGTAACCCGGCAGGAGGATTTTATTCAAGTTCAACTGACCTAGCTCGGGTTGGACAGTCAATTCTACAATCTCGCCTTATTCCAGAAACAGACACTCGACGCTGGCTGAAGCCCAACTCTCACACTTCCTCTTTGATGTCCTCCGTCGGCAGCCCCTGGGAGATTTACCGGTCATCCAACACTAGGGTTATCGATTTCTATACCAAATTCGGAGACCTCGGTAGCTACGGCTCAGTCATGGCCCTGAGCCCGGATCACGATGTGGGATTCACAGTTCTGGCAGCGGGCGCAAAACCAGGGTCACAAAGGACACTCCTCGCCGATTTAATTGGACGCTTACTTAGTGCCACTCTGGACAAGGAAGCGCGACTACAGGCCGTAGAAGATTTCTCGGGAACCTATTCCTCTTCCCCAAGCAGTGAAAACGAAAAAGCTACCGTGCTGAAAATCAGCAACAAAACGGACGACACCGGCCCAGGATTAGCAATTGAGTCGTTCTACCTCAAGGGTGCCACATTCAAGGACATAATTGGGGCGTTCTTCGGCGCGCCGCCGGGAGCATTTCCCAAAGTTGACCTCCGCCTGCAGCCCACTGGCCTGACGGCAAGGTACACCAGCAGCTCGCGCGAATCAGTCAGGTCGCGAACATCTTTCCGTGTCGTTGCCACTCTTCCGGAGCCCGGCGCTGATAATAATTTGACCAAAGAGAAGATCTTCAGCGGTGTTTGCGAGCCATGGACCTCCATTGATGCCTTGCGGTATGGACGCAGGTCGATTGATGAGCTTGTCTTTGAACGTGATGGAGCTGGGAAGGCAGTGGCGCTTGACATGGGAATCACCAGACAGACACTACTTAGAAAGGACACTAACTGATAGTAAGGGTCAGTATTTATCTTCTCTTCGTATTTATTTATTTATTTATCCCTTTCCAGCAACCGTTTTCCGGGCCATAAGGAAGGATGGAATGTTTGAAAGAGGTGGTGGATGTATTGGAGATGCGTCTGGCTTGGGGTATTGCACATTAATCCATTTTTATATGTATGTAACATAGTTATTAACCAATCAACCTATTCATGCATATCATCTTTTTGATCACATTTTTACACTAGGTAGACTTCTTACGGAATAATTGTCTCAACAAATTCAAAAAAACAGAAAAGGATTTAATTATATGGAGAACTATTCTCTGTATACTAAGGTTATACATAATAGAAACTGGTTTGTCCTCCTCGTACCTTATTTGCTGTGGTTTTATAGATTATTATGAGGGCGTAGAGTTGGTTACTTACCTTTTAGTGAGTGAGTCAGTGCTGTATCAATGCCAGTTGACTGACTCTTCAACCAACGCCCCAACGTCTCTCTCGGTCTACGCGCCTTCACCACGACAGAGAACAGTCGGGCCAGCGAGCTGCAAGAATATGGAAACGACTTACAAGCAGCCCCCTTGGGTACAACCACAAATGCGTCCTGACATAGATTTATCTCCTCTTAAGATGTACAATTCGTTGACACGATCCAAGAACGCTTTTATCCCAAAGGATCCAGAAGGCCACAGAGTTACCTGGTATTCTTGTGGACCTACGGTGTACGATGATGCTCACCTCGGCCACCCTAGGAACTATGTTACTACGGACATAATTCGCCGGATAATGCAGGATTATTTTCACTTCGACGTGTAATTTGTGATGAATATCACTGATATGAATGACAAGGCATTCTACCACCTGCAGTCTGAGCAGATTCCGCTATTTTGAAGCACAGAACTCATCCATGAACCCCCCCCCCCCAGATTATTGTCAGAGCACGCCAGCAGCACCTCATCTCAGACTACGTCGCCAAACATCCGGTAGTCGACGACCATGTTGTAAAAACAGCAAGGATGGCATTCTCTGCGTTCTTGAAAGTAAAGCTACCTTTGGTGAAATCCTTCAGACTTTCAACAAGAACCTGAGAAAGTTTACGCGTTTGTTATAAATGGTGGTGCCCTCGAAGGAAATAAAAGGCCTGGAGCTGACGAGGCCAAAATCAAGATGAATATTAAAAGCGGTTCCCTAACGGTTCCCTAGCGGGAAAATCATCGGGTATGCATTGAAGAGAATAGAGAAATAGGGCGTCGCTCCCAAGGCAGATGAGGAACAGACCACTGCGATCGGAGAGCTCCAACCAAGTAGCGAGGACTTTTATGGTATCTGTGAAGACGCTTTCCTTGTCTACCTCGATGAGGTTGCCCGCTCATCCGTTCCTAATGATGACCACTCGATATTCTCCAGGTTAACGAAATAATACGAAGATCACTTTAGGAAGATATGCGCAAGCTAAATATTCTGGATCCGGACATATTGACGAGAGTCACAGAAGATGGACCTGAGATTTTGTTGGTTTTGTGGAGCAATTCGTTTAGAAGCAATTCGGCTGCCCAACGCCAGATGGCTCTGTCTACGTTGACATTAAGTCCTTCGAGCAGGCTGGAAATCACTATGCTAGATTAGAGCCATGGAGCCGGAACGACAAAAGCCTTCAGAAAGAAGGTGAGGGATCCTTGTCCCAACGCGCTGTAGCAAAACACTCAAAGAATGACTTTGCCCTCTGGAAATCATCCCAGCCCGGAGGGCCAAGCTGGCCCAGCGAGGCACTATGCCGATGTTCTAGCAACCTTCCGAAATAGTGTGGTAGCTGTAAACCTGGACGATCCTCAAAGTATCACGAAAGAAGTTCTGGTGCTCTGTGATTGTGTTCGCGATGTTGATCTCTTTAACTGGTATCTACTTGGAAGACTGAGAAGGCCGACCGGCTCTAGTACGTCTGGTTACTTGAGATCTTATCGAGGCCCGTCAGGAACAAGCTGGGCAGTATTTGGAGAAACAGCGGATTGAAGAACAGTAGAGGCGGAAAGAGCTTGAGAAACTTGAAAAAGGGAAGATGAGTCCATTGGCAGACCGAATGAGTTCAGTGAGTGGGATGATGATGGCTTGCCAACGAAGGATTCGTCAGGCAATGATATTACTAAGAGTTGTAGCAAGAAGCTGAGAGGATTTGGACCTCCAGAAAAAGCTCCACGAGATGTGGCTCGCAAGCAACCCAGAATAGTAGGGTAGCCCTGTAGCTTTGTACGGCATCCTGAAAGATGAAATATATTTAGCGCTGATAGAAATGCGGAGGCGCAAGGAAATAATTTGCCACATGAATTGAAATGACTCCATGTCACGTGATATGACATCTTGTTCTAAAGAGGCAACAAGCCTCGAATTGGCCATAGCAGCATTACATCCAACACCACGCATTCCAGAGAGATGGCGTTAGTATCATATTCAGACTCTGAAGGTTCAGATTCAGGATCTGCATCGACTACACAATTATTTGAAAAGAAGAAAGCAGCAGGCCCCACTGCACTTTCGAGTTCCCGCGAGTCCTCAAAACCAACTTTTCAACCTCTCACTGATCGAAGGAATCCAGGCAAGATCCTCGTGAGCCTGCCTGATGCAGATGAGCATGCCAGATGCAATGCTCAGCAAAATGGTAGCGACGATAATGACGGTGATGGTCCGGCGAGGAAACGCCCTAGAATAAGTGCTCAGGGTGGTGGTGGGGGTGCGTTTTCGGGCTTCAATTCTTTTCTCCCCGCACCGAAGCGGAAGGGACCTGTTAAACCTGGGCTGGATAAGAGAAGTGATGGGACGGCGGCACCCCGCAAAGTGTTTAGTTTGAAGACGGGGGCGGAACCGGGGTTCGACAGGCAGGCTGATGAACAGATGAAGTGGGATCTCGATAATGGTGGCCTCCCTGGGACGACGGGGGAGGAGACTAAGGCTGGAGTGGCGGATGGATATAGTATTGGGGTAACTGAACCTGTCAAAGAGAAGGTGGAGGAACCTGCTGTTAAGCCGAAGGGGAATGCGATGATGTTCAAGCCGCTGTCTGTGGCTAGGGGTACGACCAAGAAGAAGAAAGTGAGGACCACGGTGGTACCGCCTCCTCAGACTACGTCGTCAGCCGATGGAGGGAAGCCAGTGCATGAGACTATGACAACAGCTGGGCAGATGAAAGTCGGAGATACCATCTCTAAACCAGCTCCGAAACCTAAGATTAGCCTCTTTGGACTTGGGAAGGAAGAGGAACAAGCACCGTCCGCTTTACCATCCTCCTCTGCCCCCTACATACCTTTAGGATACAACACATCCTCCGAACCCAACACATCCTCCGAACCCCAACACGACACCTCCACCATTATACCCTCGGAGTCCTCAAGCCCTCCGCCCTCCGCACGCGTCCCCGAACAGCAGCGTCAACAACCGCAAACCCTCGCCAGCATCGCCGATGATCTGAATCTTACCCCCGCTCAGAAACGGCAACTGCTGGGCCGCCAGGGCGTCTCTTCATCTGCTTCCAACGCCGCTGGCGCGACACAATCGAACCCCAACATAATAACATTCAACACAGATCAGGAGTACTCCTCCAACAATGCATTCCTCCTCACTGCATCAGAGGTAGAACTAGCTGCCCAACAACATAATCCTGTTCGTTCAATTGCGCCGGGTAAACACAGCTTGCAGCAGCTGGTTAACGCAGTTAGTACTCAGCGTGAGGCACTGGAGGAGAGTTTTGTGGCTGGCAGGAGGAACAAGAGGGAGGCAGGGAACAAGTATGGATGGTAATTGGGAAGGTCTGTTCGTGTACAATCGGGAACCAGATGGGCAACTTGGAGTGTGTAAGGTGGAAAGCGTTGGAACCTTTTTGCCTTCCTGATAATGCCTTACAAGCACTCATTTTTTTACATTTATACCCGGTATTTTGCTCTCATAGTCATGGTTTGGTTGATGGGAAATGGAATATTTAAAGTTGGCTCACATACGGTTATATTTCGGGCGTCGCATCGTTTGGGTTTGATTTTCATATGCTGCAATGGGAATGGTTTCATAGAATCGATAAAAGTGCACATTAGTGGTTTCCGTCAATTTTCTACTTTCGCTGGAGAGTTTTCAGATCAAATCAAGATCATTGAGCAACTTGGGCTGTTCCGTTAGTTGACTCTTATAGTTTTAATATTCTTCCATAACTACCTCGTATGACGAAGTACTGTACAATGAGTTGTTTAGATGAAATAAAAATTTGAAATCCCCTTGAAAGGATACGGAAATTGCGCGATAGATTACAGAAGAGAAAATCTAAATAAATGGCTTTTAGAAGGTAGCTAAAGGAAATGGCCTATTTTAAGTATGCACAAGAGGTATATCTACAAATCCAACAGAACATATACATGCATCAACACAAAAAAACAAAAAAACAAAAAAAAACATGCCCTGGCCTAATAGTAGAAATGAAACGGTACAGTCGAAAATTCTATGCGGCAACGTCGACAACTTCCGCAAACCATTGTTTTAACGCCAAACTCAAAATTGCTGGTAACTCCTGAACATCCCTAACAACCAGATAATATGCAAATGGAAATCCTTCAAGATATCGTTTCATTTTCAACTTCATCTCTCCTGTCCCCGACCCGTCAGGTTCGAAACTCGCCTGCGTCAGATCGAGAATCGAGTTCCCCTTCACTGCATCGACGATGATGAAGACTATCATGATTCGCTCCTCTTGCGCTTGTCGAACTAACCGGCGAATGGTCTCATGGTCTTCACAGATTCCATCCGATATGATGAGTTCCAGCTGCCAAAGATCTCCGCTCCCACTCGAACGAGAGCGTTTCGCCTTCGCCTCCCTAAACAGAGCAATCGAGTCGGAGATAAGTTTCCGTACATTTGTGCCAGTCTGTTTGTAGCTGAACTGCTGGAAGATTTGGACACCTGCTTCAGACGAGAAAGGTTTTCCAAATTCATGAGCCACACGGACGTGGTCCTCATCTCCGAAACTGACAACGCAGAGATCCCCTGCCTCTAGCATGCTTAGGCTTTTTGCAACAAGAGCGAGCGTCTCGAAAGCTAGTTGCCCGCTGCCGCTCTCAAGCATTGATTTACTATCATCAACTGCAATCATGATTTGGTAACTTCTCTTTGAAGGGACAGATCGTCGCATCCAGATCTTATCTCGTTTATATTGGGATGCGATGTACGGAATGATGCGCTTGATATTGAGTCGTTTTCCGGTTCTAAAGTCTCCTCGCAGTTTGGTTGCCAGAGTGGGTGCGAGAATCAAGCGTAGTTGTTCAGTCAGCGAGAGCGAGAGATCGTGGGTAATTGACTCATAGTGAGACCATAGTCGCCGGGCTTCCTCTGGAGAACTCAATGGAGCCAATTCCGAAGTGACATGCAAGGCCAACAGATGAGTATCCATGTCTTCCATTTCTCGAGACTCCTCTTTTTGTCCATTTTGATTTGTAGGTTCAGTTTCCATGCTTCTATCACCAGCAACAAATGATCTTGATGTATTACTGTTCTCCGGCAGATCGGGTTTCTGGTCCAAATCCATTTGATCTTCCAAAGACTGTTCTGCAGGAAGATTCTGAGGCTCTCCGGCATCTGGAAGGAATTCTCCTTCTTCTGGCTTTATATCGGATTCGACAGCGTTGCTTTGATCAAGGCTCTTGGCTTGCTCTTCGTTTGCCTGGCCAAGTGCTTGAGTATCTGCGACATCCTGATCGTCTGCGAGATGCTCGAAGTCCGCATCTTCCATGTTGGCATCCTGATTTTCATTCTGGGAAGTGTCTTGGTTGTCAGAGGTCTCCTTGATTTGACGTTGACGGCGGTGCCATTGCTCGAGAATATCGCCAAGCTTTTTGAAAGCTTGTGTTTGGGAGTCTTCTAGTTTGCCGTCGTCTCGACCACCAGATGCGTTTGTTGCTTCTTTCCCGTCTTCACCCTGGTCAGCACTGCCTGTCTGAGGCTTTTGCTCGTCAGCCTGGTCCTTGGAGCCTTGTTCTTGAGTTGCTTCGCCAGAGTCCCCTTTCTCTCGATTTTGATCTTGGTCGACTCCTAGACCACCAGAAACTTCCTCACTTGGAGCAATATTTTCCGAATCTGCTTGGTTATCTGTCCTCTCCATTTCCAAGAGTCCCTCTCTCTCCTCCTCTTCTTCTTCTGCTGTCTCAGTCTCTGGCTCCTCTTTGGGACCTTCGGCGTCTTCTTGCCCGTTGACAACTTCTTCTGTTGCTTCTTCTGCTGTTTCGGCTTCATCTTCGACTTGATGTTGAGAATCCAGGTCCAGATCATCATTGGGTTGTTCCGGAGCATCTGGCTCGCCTTCCCAGATGCTATTATTATCGTCTGACAAACCGCCAAGATCATCATCCAGATCGGATCCCTCTTTATCTTTGTCATCTTGGCCATCTAGCTCCATGTCTTCGGGTAGATCGAGAACTGGTTCTTCTTTTGCATGTGGATCGGTTGTATCCATGTCTTCCCTACCAACAGCTTCTCCTTCATGATCAGGAGGCTCGGATCCCTCGTTTTCGCTTTCCTCTCCATCTTTATCTTGGTCTACCTTTTCATTCTTTTCAGTGGGCGCAGCTGTTTTATCCTCCGATTCTGGCTCCCCTTTTCCTTGTTCGTTTTCCGTATCTTTCTGTTCTTGATCATTGGTCCCATCCCACATTTTTTCATCAACTGCGGAAGCGTCTAGTCCATCAACACTGCCAGTTTCCTCATCAATGTCCATATCTTCTTCCTCTTCTTGGTCTGAGCCCTTTCCGTCTTCCGCATCCTTCTCATCCTCAAAATCACTTCTGTCTGCCTCAAGATCCTCATGGTCCATATTGACAGCATCGTCTTCCCCCTCCTTGTCCTCTTTGTCTCCATCCATTTGTTGCTTTTCCTGGGCTAGGTCGGACAAATCTTCATCATCTTGAACATCTTTGCTAATATCCTCAGCGCCTTCCCCATCGCCTAGCCCAGTCCCACTTTCCAGCTTGTCAGATTTCCCCTGCTCTCCAGAGCTCTCAAGCGGAGTACAGAAACCTTCCGACGCAATCTGGTTAAACGACTTTGCTAAGAGATATGACATCTTGCACATCTCTCGATGTAGCGCAGAATACCGGTGAAGGACATCAGTACAAATCGATTTGTATTGTTCCGCGATTGGCAGTACTACTGATATGGCGGCGCCAACAACAGTAAGCGAAGTCGAATCCGTCGTGGAAATGTGCTGAATCTGGGCTAGCACAGAGTTGATAGCACCAGCGATATCGACCATGTGTAGCTCTGCACACGCTTTTGATATAACTTGTTCAGTTTTTACCAACCAGGCTGGGGTATCCTTTGAAGAAGGAGCTGTGGACAGTGAGGAACTTAATTTTTGCATCACAACAAAAATTTTGTCCATCGTTGTCAAGAGGGCCGAGTCAAACTCCTGTAGTGAAATTCTGATTTGGCCATTGGTTTCTGGCATGCTTGATTTTGTGCATAATTCAGTCCATGGAAGTATCTGTTCCAGAGCGAAGGTCAACTCAGGATGCTCATCAATCCGTTTTAGTACATCGGATCGTATATCTGAAACCAACGTCTGAACGCTCGAAAATAGATTTTCGTGAGTGCTAGTAGATAATCCTGGAGGTAGAGTTTTTAGATTTTCGATTGAGATAAGTAGCGTGTTCAAGCGGGTTTTCCAATCATCCAATGCCCCTAGCACTTCCGACGAATCAATTCCGGCAAAATTTCGGTGGATTTGAAGAGTTGAACCACAGACACCAAGGATAGTGGAAAGCCACCGAAGCGTTCCTCGGAGATCACGACGGCTGGATGGGAGATAGCTGTTACTGTACAACAGGGAGCTACTAAGATCAGATACATTCCTCATTTGTTGCATCGTGGATTCGAGAGCAATAAAGTTATCCATCCTCCATGATAGAGTTTCCCTTTGTTTCAATGCCCAATGAAGAAGACCTTCAATAAATCCCGCGCTTCTAGCAACCTCAACATTGCTAAGGTCTTCAGAGTACTCGTGCGAGGAAATGCGGACACGAGGCACCAAATCCAAAAATCGATGAAAGTAAGAGTCTGCGCTCTTAATATGGACAGAATCAACATGCGCCGTGAGAGGGCGTGTCGTTGAAAGGACCGCAGCGACAGATTGTTGACTTTCAAGAATGGTAGTCCCAACATTAGAACGGATGCCCATGAAGCGAAGGTCTTTGAGTTTTTCTGCATAGAACCGCCGCTTTTGGCCTTTGAGATGCTGAACATCGTGCTGGTTATCTTCGGTTAGGGTCTTTGGGGTTCGGGATTTAAATTCGGCGATGGTGTCAATTATGTCGCGCATGAACGCATCGAGCTCCTCGTGGGCCAATAATCCTGTTAGAGAGTTCTCATACACACGTTGCATGCTCTTGACTGCGCCATCCGGGTCCGTAAATCGAATGGGTCGCTGGCCCCATGCGTGAACATTTTCACGGCATACGCGGAGGGCAGTGGAGGAAACACGATCGGGTAGTGCGATACATTTATCCGGCAATGATTCTATTGTATCCGGAGGGCAGGAGAGTCCCTTCATGAACAGGCCTTCCGAGGATTGCCCTAGAAGACTGCGATACTTTTTCACAACCCTGAACAATTTGTTATGAGAACGACGTGCACTCTCTCTGAGAGCAGTGATGTTAACGTCCTTCCAGCTTGCCAGCTGAATAGTTTGCTGGATGTCGCGTTCCAGTGCTTGTCTGCCGTCACCAAGTGATTTTTCAAAAATAGACACAAACGGGAGGTAGTGGTGAAGTAGGTTGTCAATCGCACCACTTAGTTGTTCTAGAGGGGGGAAGTCCGTAGCATAGAGATGCAGTAGCATTTTGAATTTTGCAACAAGTTGCAGCCTAAACTTGTATTGACCCATTGGGGTGGAGCAAATGAATCTCTCGAGGGTAGCGATCAGTTCAACGGAGTGTTCAGTTAATGGCTGTCCGTCTTGTACTAGCCGTAATGGGGCCGCAATTATCACATCATACGCAACAAACCACCATGCACTCGCATCCTCGCTGCATTTCTCATCTTCTATGTCCAAAAGGCGAGCCCAAGTGGATAATTCAATGCGCCGCCAATTTATGAGAAGGGCTGTTAAATTGTCGTAGCATTGAGCGGCAGAGAATGCTTTACTTGCGACAGTCTGCCACTCATAAATAAATGAATGAAGTTTCTCCGCCTTGGTTATAAATTTAGCAAGCGGTTCTTGGTGTCTGAATTGGAAGATCTCGGAGCAACAGTGAATAACATCTGAAAGAGTAGAGTGCTCGGGCCATGAATTTTGAAGTTCTTTGAAACGCACACGGATAGCTGCAACCAAATCTGCGAGTTTCTTCACCTCTACCAAGTTTGGATCTGAATAGAAATTGTAAGACGTTGGTTGCTTAGAAGTTTTTACCTCGTCTAGAAATAGAATTGCTCCGAGCAGGTGTGATTTGGGGTCCGCCGTTGGGATGTCTCCTAGGTGTTTTGCAATGTTCGAACCAAGTAGTTTCGTGGAGTCTACCAGCAATTTCTTCAGTGTTGACTCCTTATCGAGGCGGGAGAACAAATTATCGAGTACACTGGAAAGCTGCATGGAAATAGTTTTGACATCAAGCTGTGGCAATGTTCGACTTTCAAGATCATTCTCAATCGGGCCGTCAAACGTAGGGAAAAGTTGAGAAAACTCATCAGCATCTACTTCCTGATCACCTTCGAACGATCCTCGATAACGGTATAGGCTCGACTTTTGGGAGTGCTTATTTTGATCAACCTCCAGCTGCTGTTTCCAGAGAATGGAAAAGTCCTCGAAGATATCACGGAGAAGCTGGCGATTTTCAGCAGCTGAAAGAGTTTCAGGGTCCGTATTTTGGAAAACCCGTAGGACAGAGAGCCGTTGCAACCCGAGGTCTATCTTCTCTGCGTTAGACAACCGAGAGGACGGCTGCTGCAGTTCGACAAGAGAGACTCTTCTGGCGCTCATTAATGGTGTAACCTGCCCCATAGCCTGCATGAAACTTTGACCCAAATGGGAACGATGCTCAGCACACTGAACCAGTTCTACCCCGAGATGCAGAATCTCCAGGAAGCGGACGATGGGAATGACAACATCGCCGTATGCCTTATAATTTGTGGTGAGGCGAAGACATATTTGCTGGATATTTTTTTGCAAAAGTTTACCTTGTTGGTTGACAGCATTGCCAGAGTCCGAGCTACCTGAATCCTGGAGGGAACGAAGAATAACATCAGGATTCGAGCTGAGAACTGAATTTAGAATGTTGGCAAATTCTCCCTGCAATTCGCCAGACTGGGAAGGTTTGGGTCGAATAACCGGGGGTGAAGGGGGCACAGCACCCAGTAGCTGGAGCTCGCCGTTAATCATCCGAATACGTAAACTCGATTCTTGTCCAGAGAAGGACAATTCAAATGTTTTTAATGCGTCAAGCTTTCTGGTTTTCTCCTGGACGCGTTGCGTGTATTGTTGTTGTTGAACAACTAATCCAAGCGACGGGTCGAAAGGTTTGTTTGGGACAAAGAGTTGGAGACATGCCATAGCAAGGTGGATACAAGCGGCTCCTAGTTGAAGGTACTTAGCGGCCCCGTTTTCACCGCCAACCAAAGAGGACAAGATTTTATTGAATGATCTCGATGCAAATTCATTGAAATAGTGATGTTTTTCGGAATTATCTCGTAAATTAAGTCGTAGTGTTTGGATCTTAGAATATCCGCTGGGCGACTCACGACCCAGTGAGCCTAGGTAGGATACAGCACTTGCGAGCGACGTGGGATCGATCAAATCTTCATGGCAATGTAAAAGCTCTCGGAGAAGCTCGCCCAGCCGGCTCTGGAGGATATCAAACTGATTATGCGCGATTTGGCCGGTGCTTGAGCATAAGCCGTTTGCAATGAGGTCAAGTTCAGAGTGAAGGAGGTTCATTCCCTTCAAGGGCACATTTCCAAGAGACCCTAGTTTCACTATCAGTGATAGTGAAATAGTTCCACGGAGTGCCAATGGTTTGCGTGACATGTTTTGGAAACCTGAGAAACGTGAAATTCTTGACAGGAGCTCAGGAACAGGGTTTTCCAAAGTTGACATATCATGCGGAGAAGCTGGGCGTCCTGCGAGCAGCTGTAATACGTTAGAGAGGGCAGAATTTGTAGTAGCAGTATCCAGTTTTCTGATGTCGATAAAATCACGATACTGCGAGAGTGCTTCAAACTCCATGGAAAAGTAGGGAGCTGATACTGAGTCGGAATCCAGCATGCGGGTTTCAAAGTCATCGATCACATGTTGAAGATCCTGAAAAGATGTCAGTTCTATATTTGAAATCAAGTGACTTGCGGTCATACCTGAATCAGACCACCTGGGTCCGCGCCTTGTAGCATTGAAATCTGCGCCTGGACTAGCGAGTGGCGGAATTGGTTGAGTTGCGTAAAGGGCAAATTTGTCTTCAAAGTAATCTGATCAAACTGGGCAGCAACATACTGCAAATCGACCATTGACTTCAAATGAGCGGGATCAATTGGCGTTGCTGGTCTCCAGCGATCCCACATCCTCTGCATGCTCTGACCGGTTGTCAGGCCCCAGTTGGCACGGAAATTATTAAGTGATTCAAACAGGACCCTAACAAGATCAAGCTGAACATCCTTAAAGCGAGAGTAAAGAGATTGCCCGATTTGCAAGTATGTTTGAAATACCCCCTCGTCAAAGTCATTCGCTTGCACGACATTGAAAATGTCCCAGCACAACTCTAATATGGAGCTGACCATAGCACACACATCAACGGAACATAACAGCTCGGCATCAATGTTCTGAATGGTCTCGCTCAAAGCCTGAATACAGTTGGAAAGATACAAAGCAACCGGCTGGGTTGATTCTTTCATAAGTGCTGGAATCGTATTCGAAGCCATCGACCTTTCCAGCCTGTTCATTTCAGAGGGCTTTTTGTTTGAAACGGAGCCACGAACTTGAGACAAGACTTGGTGGAAATGCCAAACATTAAATTGTATCTCTTGGAGTTTTGTTAATTTTGCTAAAAGAGCTCGTGATTCTGGAACGATGCAGGCCACAATTCGGGGCTCATTGATCAATGGATGTAGTGGCTGTTTGGTCTCTATTAGTTAACAAACCGGCAAAGTAGGGAAGGTCTACCACGTACCTCGACACTCCGGCGAAAGCTCGAAAATTTCTGTTCGTTCCAACTTCCATTGCATAGAATATCCTTCAAAGGAGGAAGGGTATCATGGTGCAAAAAAGCGTGATAGCGATCAAACGTCTGGTAAATAGCTGTTGAACGCTTCGTATCAGCGGCACTATTCGTGGTCCATATGTCGATAGAAGTGGCCGACGATTGCTGCAGGCTGCGAAAATCGTGCGGGGCCAAGTGATCAAGAGACACTTCTAATTCATCCTGTAGCCTGTCCGATTCCTTTCGATAGCATGAGAGATCTTGACCCCAGCGAATTCGGTAAATTAACGATTCCGAGGTATAAAATATTCCTCCAGCTTTAGGCATAGCTTCGTCGGCCCTTGGCGGGAAACATATTTCGATAGCCCGATTCCTCATTGCTCGCGACAGCTCCCCATAACGAGGATCCATAGTGAGAAAGAGTCGAAAATTCGGGTGCGGTTTCACCACTTTTGCAGTACCATCTCCAGTTCTTTGCTCATTGATAACTAAGCACCCGTTCGGTTCCATAAGTGAATTTAGTCTATCCAAAACAGAGGAATTGCAAAGGTTGGCATTGTCAAGGACCACCCAATCGCCTTTCTGTACTGATTGAATAAATATGCCCTCAGTCCATTCGAAGCCAATTGTTTTGCCACCAGAAGACGACTTGAGCAATGTTTTCGAGCGCTGGTAAAATTCCGTGAAGTTTGGATGTAATTCCTTGAGCGAAATTCTGTGTAGTGCGTCCGAAATAGTTTCAAGCTCGGGTGTTCTGCTTTTGACTGTTTGGTAAAGCTGTACGAGCTCACTATCCACATCGGTCTGCTTAGTGGCAGTATGCGTGGAGACAATCTGAGCTTGTAGAAATTGGCATAGCTCGTCCATAAAACTTAGCAGATGGCGGTCATTATCTACCTGCTCAAAGCCACCGATGAGATCCATCGTATCAGTATCCGCGTTTAGAGCCAATTCGACAACTTTAGAGCCACTGAAAGCGGCAAGCTTCCGTAAAATGGCTGTCTTCCCACATCCTGATGCGCCAACAAGGATACTTGGCCACCCCTGCTCTATACACAGTATCAATGATTCCATAATCGGTAGATCGCCGGCAAGTATCTTCATGTGAGGATCATTGAAATATTGCATCAGAGGATCGCGTTGAAGTACACCAAGGCCGACCTGGTATTGTGACACGCTTAGGTTATGGAAATAGCTTTTGATCTCCGGAGTCGATCCGAACACGTCCTCATACAGCGACGCAACGAGGGTTCTATCACTAGGTGTGCGAAACCTTTGGCTAATCACAACATCGAGGAATTGAGAAGGTGAAACTCGGATTGGAGTGGATTCAAGAAGTTTGAGCCACCTTGAGATATCCCGTAAATTTATTTCCCAGGGACCTCCGACAGTTCCCAGGCGTCGTTCGTTCGTTACTTTGAAATTCAGTGAAGAGACAAATTCCACTAGCTGTTGGATTTCTTTTTCAGGAGCAAGAGGAGACAACCTTTGACAGATCATTTTCAAGTCGTTATCGCTAAACGAGTCAGCATAAACAACTGTAAACCGGTTCACGAACGAGGCAGGGAGTCCTTTTCTTCCACCCCCTTGGTGATGAGGATTTTGCGCTGCGAATAAAACAAAGTTGGGGTGGCGTTTAAACGTTTGGTCTAACTCGGCAACATAAACTTGTTGACGGTGGTCTAGACAGGAATTCAAACCTTCCAGCACGGACTGAGACGCAAGATTCATCTCGTCTAGAAGAACCCAGCCGCCAGTTTGCATAGCGCGTAAAAAGGGTGCATCACTCCAAGAGAAATTTCCCATATCGCCGCCTTCAACAGGGACATCTGATCCAAACAAATCTGTTAAATCAGTCTGGTCGGAAAGATTGATTCGGGTAAGGGGTTTTCCAAGAGATTGTGCCAAAGCGGCAACGAGGGTGGTTTTGCCAACACCAGGGCTACCCTCAAGCAGAATCGGCTTTGCTGACTGAAGGCCGCGGGCAATTCTCAGAGTGTTAGCAATTGTAGTCGGTGCGTCCATAGAAAATGTGGGATCATTCTCTGAATGGGTGTTCATCTCTAGAACGAATGGTCCAATTCTCATAATATTTTCTTCCATAGATATAGTAGCTGCTTGATAATAGATAGAGGCGGCATCGAAACCAAAAATTTTACCTAATCTCTCGAGACATTTGACGCGGTCGTGTTTGAGATTTGAGGCACCTGAAGCAAGCATAGCGGAAGGGTTGGCGCCCAGTGTATCGATGTATACTAGAGCCGCGCCATGGACCATCGCAGTAACGTCATCGAGCTCTTTGCATTGATTTACAAAGTCAACCCATGCCAACAAATCGCGAATGGATATTGATCCAGAGGAGGTTGCCTGGAAAGTTTCTTTGAACCATTTTGCGAACGTTAACATTGAACTTGGGGCATTCGAGATAGGCGATAAGAGTTTTGCAGACAAGATGGGAAGGATATCTTCAGCTTCGGAAAGCTGAGGTACCCAAATTTCGGTAAGCCGGTTCCGGAGCGCAGCAGAGAGTTCTCTTTTTCCGTAGTCCCCTCCTGGGTTCATGGTTGCCAAAAACTGGAAACCATCCCTTGCGACCACTAAGGAATCGATAGGGCCTTTTTCTGCAAGGAGTAAAGACCTGTGGGATTCAAGAACGCTGTTTAGGCGTTCCAAAACGGAGTCGTCTGCAAGTGAAATTTCGTCTAGAAGAAAATGTTGCCCGGTTTCCATTGCCGTTATGAGACTACCGTTGGACCATTCGAAAAGTGCCTTCGCTCTTGTCATATTCTCCCTTATACGATTCACCAAACCTGGCTCGCACATGTCCAGTGCCTCGGTCTGTAATGCAGAAAATGCTCGTGTTAGCTCGTCGATAGAGCTATCACTGCTTTCATCGTATGTATCAATGGAATTCAAGACTGATGATAGATCCGCTAAAAGCTGTCCTTCGATTGCGGATCTATTTCTCAACGGCCTCTGTGCACCAATGATATCTCCCGTCTCGAGGTTAACATGAGCGTTTATGGTGAAGAGTTCCTTTCCATATATTTCTGCAATAGCCTGGCATATTTGTGTTTTGCCGCATCCGGTTTCTCCAACAAGCAGGACAGGTTCATTATGTTCAATAGCCTGTGAAACAAGTATGAATACCCTCCTCATCGCCTGTGTCCATATTATACCAGTTGGGGCAGTAGCTGAGAGCTGTTGGAGTCGAGCATCCAGTCGGGTAGAACTATAAATGGTAGTTTCATCAAGCTTCACCCTCATAACCTCCTCGACTACCTCCTTTACAGCTGCCCTTTCCTGTGGATTCCTTACCCTTTCTGCCAAAAGCATAAAACCATTGACAGCCAGTTGTTCGCGATCATCAGCACGGCGTTGGGCCCATCGAAAGAGATCACGTAGAGTAGCAAAGCTGTTTCGCTGCTCGAACAAGCGACTTGATTGTCGTAGAAGTGAAAGTTTTCGATATACCGCCACTATTCTTGCACAGAATGATGGAGGAATTTGCGATCGTTCCTTGAGAATGAATTCAAGTTCGTCCTCGGGAATGTCATCAAAATGGAGTTCAAGGAATCGATTTCGGAACGCGCGGGAAAGCACCTTTCGACCACCGTAGAGACCAGCGGGATTTTGTGTAGCGAACAGCATAAAGTTGGGATGTGGGTGGACGACTTCCTGCGATTCAGGCAAGAACAATTCTCTATTGTCATCAAGCAGGCGGTTGAGAGCTTCCAGGACATCGGTCGGTGCTAGATTAAGCTCATCTAGCACAATCCAGTAGCCATTCCTCAGGGCTTCAACCAGTATTCCTTCTTGATATCGCAAGCTGCCATCTTCGCCGGATACGTATGATCCTAAATACTCTTGGAGGTCGGTGTGTTCATGGTTGTTAATTCGGACAAATCGGTTGCCCGATATTTTGGCCAGGTATTCCACCATACTAGTTTTGCCAGAGGATGTCGGGCCCTGTAATAAAATCGGAAACCGTCTCGTAGAACTTGCTCTCACTAAATTCATCAAATTTCTCTCAATGAACGGTGTGATAATATAATGTGACTGGGACTCAATCGGAAATGCACCCTGCCTCATCCAGTAATGCTTGAATTGAACATAAGTGGCTCCGTCGTTCGGAGGCTTAGGAGTTTGTGATAATACTGATCGGGAGTTTTTCAAGCTCCCAAATATATGTTGATCCAAAAGAGGGATAATTTGGAGTTCAGATTCTTTGCTGAGCAATGTCAAAAAGCTCATGCAAAATCCTTCGTACATTGCCCGTCGAAGTCCGTAGATATGCGCTTGATTTCTCACATATATTAAAGAACGAACCAGAGTTCTGATGCTGAAATGTGGCTTCTGGCCAGCGCCGTCTGTCAGTTTGTTGTCTGCATTTAGCTTCTTCGTATCGAGGTAAAGGCGAGCAAGGGCAATAGAAGCTTTCTTGTCAGCAACAGTCAATGAGCCCAGATAAGCATCTATCAAAGTTATAAGGTCGTCGATTTCGGTATCTGGTGAATTAACATATATTTCCGTAAATCTAGATCGTAAACCAGGAGCCAAATCTCGTTTCCCAGCATCAGTTGCCGGGTTCATAGCCCCAAAAATTCGGAAATTCGGATGTCCGTAAATGCGTTCAACTTCCCCAGCCTCAGAAAGAAGCAATGACGGAATGCCGTCGCTTCCATAGTGGAGGAGACTGGCAATACTCTCTAGGGTGTCCGGGGAAGCTAAATTTATCTCATCGAGCAAAACCCATTCACCATTCTTCAGGGCTTTGACTATCTTTCCTTGTACGAACGCGAATGCAAACTTGCTATCGCCTTTAGACACCCGGACCTCAAATTCTTTCAGTTCCCTAGTAAAATTCTCCCACTTCTCACGGAGGCTGGTATATTTTGAATCGTCCAGTTTCCGTTTCTTCGAGGGTTGCTCAGAACCTGCATCCTCCAATTCAATTTTCTTTTTCTTCATCGATTCGAAAACTCCAGATGCCATTTTGACAGCCTCGTTGAGGATATTAACTAAACGTACCCAATTGCTGTTGGTAAGACATTTCGCAACCGACGATAAAAACTTCTGGTTCTTTTTTGCGGAAAAAGTCGATTCGAACAATAAATTGAAATCGTCCACCAAAGGAACAGCAATTGATCGAATATTGACAGGCTTAAAGCCACCTAGCAAGTCCGTACTTTCACTTTGTTGCGATAAATTTACCACCGTTAACCGCTGGCGCAAAAGGGAGGCAAGCTGCTGGATCACTGCGGTTTTGCCAATTCCAGTTTCTCCAACAAGTAGAACGGGTTCAGAGAGCTGCAACGCTGATATAACTTGTTCCATTATCTTCAACGAAGCCCTTGTTGGTGCAAAGGTACTCCGATCGGCTGCTGAGGAGGCTGACTTGCGCAAGCCAAGGAGTTTTCTTTTCTGGCAGGATTCTCTGCCGATCGTGACTGAGTTTGGGGAATCCAAATACTTCGGAGTCTGTTCGGACAGGCAGAATTTCATACGCTGTGGGGATACCTGCATCTCTTCCGCAATAGCTTCTGTGACCGTTGACTGAAGTAATCCTTTGGAGGAATGGGCTGCGAAACAGTCAACCGCATCCATGAAAAATTCGTCCTGAGTACCATCTGGGACTGCCTCATAGCCAGTTTCACACCCAAGATTCCGCAGCCGTCGTTCTATTCTGTAGCACAACTTAACCAAGTCACGAAGGGTTGGCAACCTCCCTGTCATGAACTTTCGAGATAAAGAACCGTTGAATAGCGAGGTGATACGGTCGAACATATTCATGATCATTTCTACCCGGGAGGAAAGTAGCGGAAACTTTTGAATAATAACCTCTTTGACTTCTGACAACGGCATTGACACCACTTGAATGCGATTCCAAAGCCTATTGCCCAACATATTGCCGCTTGGGGCAATTTCTTTCCCAGCGGCATTGATCGTGGATCTCATCGTGGCAATCACCCTGAAGCCATCGGCGCAACGGATACGTTCTTTTCTGCTCGGGATTATAAGTTCCCTTTTCTCAATAAGCGGGAGAATAAGGCCAAGGACTTCGGAAGGCGCACGGTCCAAGTCTTCAATCAAAACCCATCTGCCCTCCCTGGCTGCCTTCGTTAAAACGCCAGGTTGCCAAGAAAATGAGTAAGCCTGGGATGATGTTGAGTACACCCCCAATAAGCTTTTAGAATCGGTTTGTTCATTGATGTGAAGCGTAATCATGGAAGAAGACTGGCCCATTCGAATGGCCGCCTCATTGACAAGTGACGTTTTCCCAGAACCGGCCAGGCCGACCAGTAACACCGGGTCCATTGAGAGAAGCGCAGTACCGACGCTGCGAACGTTGCGTAGAACTGTTGGTGTTTCCACCAGAGTTGACGCTCGTATATTGTTTGTCGGATGGATTGTGGGTAGAAGTACTCCGCCGATTTCAGCAGTGTGACTTGTAAAAGAGTTTCGGAATCCTTTCGTCCAAATCTCGACAACTGAATCATCGCGAGATATCCGTGCGCTCTCAAGTTCATCTTTTAATGCAGTCCATCTCTTTTCCTCCCAAATACTAAGGAAACGATAGTCGATACTTCGGTCCTCCCACGAGCCGTTGATCGCCGCCCGACCATGATACTTGCTTAGCATTTGCTCAAGAGCAGCATCTGCAGCACGCATATACAAGCAAAAACATCGGATTGCAAGATATCTAATGACAGGATTGGGATGAGTGAGCAGTGACTGCAGCTGGGCGGCGGGAAGAATATCCGAGAAACTGCCCAAGTCAAAGCTAAGTAGGCGGAATAGAGCAATCAGAAACGCATGCAGCGTTTGTTCTTCCATATTCAGGAGTTGAAACTGGTTTGATTCCGGCGAGGAGGGCAGGGCACTGCCCTTGAGATGCTGTGAGGCGACATGGACAAATGGTTGAAGATATGGCGCAAAAGGTAAAATTCGTGAAAATGCGAGAGTAATTTGTACAGAATATTCACGGGAGTCCAAGTAAAGCCATCTAGCAGCTAAATCCACAAATATTGGCTCGTACAGTGCGAACAACTTATTGGTATAATTTGGGTGTAATGCTGCAATTGCTAGTGCATCGAGGCATGCTGATGGATTCGAACTGCTGGTACGCAGAATTTCTACCAGTTCAGGCGGGAGTTGTTGTAAAAACTGAGAACCTGGTAAAAGTACCTCATTAATACTAAATTGAGTCATCCTGTAAGCCACCTTAAAAAGCCCTTTTCCTCCACCCAGGACTTTTTTAGACCTCAATATCAACAATAATGAATTTCAACATCGAGAAATTTTCTGTCAGTCGAATTATTTTCTGCCGCGAGATCACCATGTCACGTGAATACGCTAAATGGATCGTCACCGCCTTAAATAAGCCAATCAGATTTCGCTTTCTCTTGGTACCACAGCTCCGCCCAATCGGGGTCTAGACTCCAGCCGTTGTTGTTGCTTCAGGCATTGTATATATTATTCATTCCCTCTTCATCGCACCTCTTGGAACAGAACCGCTCCCGGCTTCGTCCCACGCACAGCGCCGGCGCCTCCATGACGGACAATGTCGGGAAACTCTTCAGGCTCGAATACAGCACACAACCCTGTTAATCATGATAGCTCCTACCCTTCCCGCAACTCCGATGATCCACCCAGAGAACAAGAGGACTGGGATTCGACACGCCCGGGGGACGAAACAGTGCTCGCGGCAGACCCTTTAGGAGAGGCATTTGATGAACCGTGAGTTCATGCGCCGCCGATTGCCTTCCTTGCTGACTATGTGGCAGGATTTCATTCAAGCGCAAGCAGAAGGGTCCAGCTCGATTTGCTCTCTCGAACTTCTTTTCCTCCACCGAAACCACCTCTCACCCACCTCCACATACCCCTTTTGCAAACAATAATGGAACATCACCAAATCACACTCCACCACCTGCGACAGCGACGACTGCCAACGGAGGACTAGATGGGAATAAGCCTGGCGGACCGTTGGACTGGTACGTCGAGGGCCCTGGCCGACGAGTAGGCTATGACAACTTAACGGCTATCGATTGGATCTTCGAGTATACGAAAGAGCGCCAGCGGATACGTCACCTTTACGCCAGTAACAAAGGTCTTTTAGGCTATGTCCGCAAAGTTTTAGATGCCAGTCATATCTGGGTTATCTTAATAATAACGGGGATAGTTGTTGGTGTCATCGCGGCATGTATAGATATCGCAAGCAATTGGCTTGGGGATATTAAAACTGGCTATTGTCGTACTGGTGCCGAAGGAGGAAGATTTTATTTGAATAAGAGCTTTTGCTGTTGGGGCTACGATGGTCCGTTCTCCCGACCGCCACCTAGCCCGTACATGTATGGCTAACCCGTCTTCAAGATTTATCCGAGTGTCAACATTGGACGCCGTGGCGTAGTGCTTTCCATGTGAGATCCAAGAGTAGTGGATATGTGGTAGAATATATTTTTTTCGTTATGTATTCTGTAAGTACATTCTTTGCCCATGACGTTGGTTTCGCTAACCAGGATGCTAGATTCTCTTTGCAACAACCGCAAGCGTGCTCGTCAGAAAGTTTGCTGTATACGCTAAGCACAGTGGTATCCCTGAAATAAAAACCGTCCTTGGTGGTTTCGTAATCAAGCGATTCATGGGCGCTTGGACATTGTTGGTCAAATCTCTCGGCCTAGTATGTACTACCCTTCCCATCCACAGGTTGGTTATAATTACTTAACGGATATCTAGTGCCTTGCTGCCGCGTCGGGCCTATGGCTTGGGAAAGAAGGTCCATTAGTCCATGTGGCTTGCTGCTGCGCAAGTTTAATCATGAAGCCCTTCCCCAGTCTTAATCGTAATGAGGGTAAGTAGTATGATCCATAGAAGGAAATTAAGATAACTAATATACAATAACAGCGAGGAAACGTGAGGTTCTCTCCGCGGCGGCCGCAGCAGGAATTTCCGTTGCGTTTGGGTCTCCGATCGGAGGTGTGTTGTTCAGTTTGGAGGTACTGCGCTACTCAATCATTTGTGTCGTACAGGGCTAATTTGTTGCTCCGTTTCCCAGCAATTATCTTATTATTTTCCAGACAAGACAATGTGGCAAAGCTTTGTCTGTGCCATGGTTGCAGCAGTGACATTGCATGCTCTCAACCCCTTTCGGACAGGCAAAATTGTGCTCTACCAAGTTACGTACAGCCGTGGATGGCACCGATTTGAACTTCTTCCGTTTGCTGTACTAGGTATATTTGGCGGATTGTATGGCGGTCTATTCATTAAACTTAACATGCAAATCGCTAGATGGCGAAAAGCGAGGGGCTACTCATACCCGATCATACAAGTGGTCCTTGTAGCACTCATCAGTGCTCTCATTAACTTCCCAAACATATTCATGCGAGCTCAGTTGTCTGAGCTTGTATATTACCTTTTCGCAGAGTGTGCGAACGTTCCTGACGATCAGTTCGGGCTTTGCAAAACGGGATCTGCATCTTTGGGCGTTATTGGCCTTCTGCTCCTGGCTGCAGTTCTCGGCTTCTTCCTTACCTCAATCACCTTCGGCTTAGATCTCCCGGCGGGCATCATTCTTCCTTCGTTGGCGATAGGCGCACTCTCTGGCAGAGCTCTTGGCATTGCATTTGAAATGTGGCAGAAAGCCCGGCCAGGCTTGTTTCTCTTCCGTAATTGCGAACCCGACATTCCATGCATTACACCTGGTACATATGCTATAGTTGGGGCAGCATCTGCCCTCGGAGGGGCAACTAGAATGACGGTGTCGATAGTGGTCATCATGTTTGAGCTTACCGGTGCTCTTACCTACGTCATACCAATTATGATTGCTGTGATGCTCTCCAAATGGTGTGGAGATACGTTTGGAAAACGGGGAATTTACGAGTCATGGATTCATTTAAATGACTATCCATTCATCGAACAAAAGGACGATGTTGTCCTTCCTGACGTTCCAGTGAGCCAGGTCATGACTAGTATCCATGACCTTTCGGTCATCACTGCTGTTGGCCACACAATCGACTCCCTCTTACATCTTCTCGAGACAACAAGCTACCGAGGCTTCCCTGTCGTCTCTGACACATCCAATCCTATCCTACTAGGCTATATATCCCGTAACGAACTTAGCTTCGCTCTTAAATCCGCCACTTCTCGAAGTTCCCGAAACCTATCTCCAGAAACCCCAGCCTTTTTCGCTCATCAACCCTTCGCCGATCCACTTGAAACCCTCGACCTTCGACCTTGGATGGATCAAACACCCATCACACTAAACAGCCGAGCCAGCTTCCTAATCGTCCTGAATATGTTCCAAAGATTAGGCCTTCGATATGTACTCTTTGTAAACAAAGGTGCTCTACAAGGGTTCCTGACGAAGAAGGACGTGTGGTATATTATCGAAGATGCGCAGAAGCGGAGGGCGCAAGGGCTTAGAGATAGTGAGATTGGAGAAGGGAATACGGAGGAGGAAAGAGGATTGCTAGGTAATGATGATGGCTATGATGACCACCATCATATAAGGACGTTTAGTCCAATTGAGACAAGACCCTCCCTATAGTGGTTTGTTTTGATGCGGAGTTTTGGGATTTTCAAGGTATCTGGGAATTTCTTTCTTTCTTTTTCTTTTATCGCATAGTACCATATACATCTGGTATTGGGTAAGGAGTAATCGTGGTTATTATGTATGAAGATAGGCAGCGATTTAGACCGTGCCCCATAGATACTTGAAACAGGAATGTCATCTGTTCAATCAACCTTTCTTACCACTTAGATGAGAAAAGGCCTATCCTTTTCTAAATATATTTACGCGAAAAAACCGTCGAACGACATACACATATGAATTTCATCTAATCATTAAGCAAAAACTTTTAAATCATGCACACGAGACTTTTTTTTTTTTTTTTTTTACCTTGCCTTACCTTCTATTACAATAAGAAAAGAGAAAAGCCCGAAAATAGGCGAGCCAGCCATCGCTCACCACAAACGACCAAAGCAAGAGGATTCACCGCAGTAAATCCCGTCCTTTAAAAGCGAGTCCCATTAACGCCCTGGATACCCTGTCCCAACTGACTTGCGACAACCGTCGCTTCTCTAACCGACCGCGCGAGCGTCCCCCTAACTCGTCCCTCTTCAAGAACCAACAAACCACCAATCGTGCATCCACCCGGGGTGCTAACCTTCTCTCTAATCAACGCCGGATGCTCACCATTCTGGACCATACCAGCGGTCCCACGCATGACCTGGGCAGCCATCATCTGCGCCTCTGCCCTCGGCAGTCCCATCGCAACAGCTCCGTCAGCCATCGCTTCCATAACCAAGGCTACAAATGCAGGGCCCGAGCCAGCGAGCGACGTGCACACATCCATCATTGATGGAGGAAGGGTGACCACCCTCCCGACGCGGGAGAATATCCAGGATATCAACACATTCCACTCCTCGGGGAGGGGTGGGGTGGAGGTGCCGATGACGGTCATAGATTCACGGACGATCGCGGCGGTATTGGGCATGGCACGAACGACACGGCACCGTTTTGATTCTGGAACCGTCGAGGTGGATGGGTATAATGTGTTCTCGATCTGGTCAACGGTTACGCCAGCAAGGATGCTGATTAGGAGTTTTCCCTCAAGCGCCTCAGTCATGCCAGGCACGCCGAGCACGTCCTGAAGCATGTATGGTTTGCAGCCGAGGATGACGACCTCAGCGTCATTGACGGCCTTGATGTTCTCGTTTTGCAGCACGGTCAATGGCATTGAGTAGCTTTCGAGGGCTTTGCGAACGCGTTTTGCGGATTCCGGCCGACGCACGCAGGCGATGAAGTTATTTGGGATCTTCTGCTCCGGGACCAGTTCTGATGGTGTGGTGGTTCCGGACTCTGAGGGGTATGCGGAGTGGCTCCTTGCCTCAGAGAGGGAGGCAAGTATGCCCGATAAGATGGCTATTCCCATAGTCCCTGGAGGAATTGATAGATCTTTGTTAGTGATGTATGCTTCTCCAGCAAATTGTGCGGGGCTCCCTCGTACCGCAGCCGAGGACTGTTAGAGTCACGTCGGACTTCTTCTGGGTCATGTTGACGGCATCGATATTCCTCTGAGCAACAGCCATGGTGGGCAGTATGCAACGGTTAGTTACGATTGAATTGGAAAGGATATTTCACAACGAAGAAATAAATAAACCTTATAGAGGTTGTATGTCGCAATAGTGGGGGATGGAGGAGGTCGGGCTAAGTCGTAAATACAGCGGATCCTCCTCCTCCTTAGGGCCATAGCCGAGTTCGGAAAGTTTTGGTGGAGCTGGAGCTTTTTTTTTTCTGCCGCTTCAAGGAGCAAAAATATTATATTTATTAAATCAATACGGAAGTTTACACCGCCTTAGAGCTACATACTGCATAGAATAGATCAATCTTCCATGAACCACGTCTAATAGACCAGACCATGGCCGTTTAATTTTTTATTGCATTATGAGACTCTTATTACTACTCTATAATTCCTATCATCGCCCGCATCCAATATGGCTGACCCCTTCGAGGTGCGCATGCGCTTCACGACACAGCTCCAGCATCTAAGCGCCTCCGTCACATCCTCACAGAAAGCGGCTCACTATGCTCTCAAATACCGGGATATGGATGAGGACCTCCACTCCTGCATCCTAGAACAGCTAGAAATGGTAGCTATGCATACTGCCCGCTGCAGCATAAATTGAAAATTGAATTATGGACAAATTTCCTGATATCAACCGCTTTTTTTGGCTTTTTCTAGAATAGTATGAACAATCGCGCCAACATCATGTACTTCATCGAACACCTCTGCGACATGGCCACGAAGGAAAACCATCTTGAATTCGTCCACATGATGCAGCGAGATATCCTCCGAGTTGTTGACGCCGTCGCGCCTCCCGACGGCTCCGGCGCGGCAAACGTCAAACATGTTCGCCGCGTGCTCAACGGATTGCAGGCAAAATCATTCCTCTCCGCAGACACTGTCCGTGAAATCGATGCATTTCTAAAAGAAAGAGAAACTCACCCGGCACATCTTCTTGATCTTGAGCTTATAGAGCCCGGCCAGACGGCATCTGAAGGGGCTGATTCAGGAAAGGGCCCAGGCTCTGCGATGAGGCCGAGCGGCATGAAGGTGGACAAGCGACAGATCGAGCAGCGCATTGAGGAGGATAGAGAGCGGAACAAAAGGCTACGCGAGTCCATGTGGGCTGTTCCGGGGAACGATGCAGACGAGCTTGACAAAATGTGGGATGAAGTTAGTGATCTTGGGGAAGACGATTACTTGGCAGCTGAGGAGGAGGCGATGGAGAGGAAACGGATTGCAGAGGAGTATTACGATGCTTGATTCTATATTCTTTTTGATGGGTTGAGTTATTGGGATTTAATTACGGCATGGCGTTCTGGTTAGGGCTCTGGGCGTTGCTTTTTTATGCTTGATTGTCATTATCAAACGACACATGCAGGGTATTTATTTGGAGGGGCACATACAGAATAGAGCTCGCTCCGGTTGACACTACGATCACTATTTATTACCCGTATGTCACATCAAAGCTTGCTTAGCTATGAACCTAGTGTCTTCTCGCTATTATCCATAGGAGATTTACTTCGATAAATACCAAATTTACTACTATGATTACTCGATGTCCACGGCCACCGCAATACGCAGTAAATAGACCTGAGAAGAGATTAGGGCTAAACGCCCGGAGCAACATAATTCCGGCATACAGATTTCTGTCTAGGAAAGGAAAGGTCTGACCCATCCCACGAAGCTTGTGCCAGAACCAACCATTGATACAATTATTTGGACGGGGATTTTTCTTCTTCCCTTTTTCCTTATGTTGTCTCATATCGTCACAGCTGCCCGAGGCTTATTCGCGAGACCGGACCCTGGGGTCGAACAAGACACTCCACCCACCGTAGACCACACATCCGATCCAATTCCTGCGCATTCTTCACCCCAGATGGTGTCAGCTACTCGACGGGGTGTATTCCCTACTCCTGCTGCGGAGGAGTCGGCGGCAGCAGTGGCGGACTCATCACCAGCTACGAGGGGGAAGCGAAAGATTGCTACTTCGAATCATGGGGCGGAAAGCCAAGCACCTAAACGCAGGAAGCAGAGAGGTCCTAGCAACATGGGCTCACACGCTACAAAACCCGCCGAGACAGAAAAGGGCGTTTTAAAAAAGTTGCCCTTCCGCACTACCGGTTCAAGCGACATTGTCGGGTCCGATATACAACCTGAAGAGGACACATTAAATGTTTCAATTAGTGCGCCTAATGTGGCTGACGAAGCAGCACCCAATTCCACTGCCAAGGCCACACATGTTCGCTTTGGGAGCGAGGAGCCCGCGCCGGTGCTCAATGGAGAGAATGAGCAATCTACGGAGGGAAAGAAGCCCAAGGAGTCTCACGATATGGAGGAGGACAGTGATGATGATGACGAAGCTCCTGAAACAATAGACAACGCTGCCCAGCTACGGAAGCTAAAAGAGAATGCCCGAAAAGAAGCGAAGACTAAGCAGAGGTTCGAATTGAAGATTCCGGTCTTGTTTCTAAAGGATGTAAGAGCCCTCCGCTAACAATAACCTACCAGGACCGATGCACTAAATAAAGAAAAACGAAGAGAGCGGGATCAACGCCTAAAAGCCCAAGCAGTCTCAAAACCCGCTCCTTCGAGTAAAGAACATACCCCGTCCATTCCACAAGATCTCCGCGCAAGCAAAGATGAAATTCTCTCCGAGAGCTCCGTGACGATACAAGGATCTATATCAAAACCCATCCGATCACTTCCCATGCTACTCCCAGATGAGATCTTGAACGCGGAACCTACATCAAACCATAGTAGAATCCCCACCCCACCATATGAGATGGATTCATCGTCCCTAGCCGACAAGATGTCGATATCGAAGTCGAAGAAACTTAAGTTTCTGGATAAGCTTGAGAAGCGGCCGAAGGACGTTAGGATTGGGGGAACGTCGATTCGTGTTCTGGAAAACTCGGGTAGTGGTGGTTTGCGTGGGGTCAGTTTACCGCCCAAGTCATCCAAGAGGAGCCGCCGGGCGCGTGAAAATCTGTTGACTGGAAGCCGCAGGTTGCCTGGCGGTGGTAGTTTAAGGAGGACGACGGGCGGAGCTTCGGGGTTTGTTCGAAAGTGATACTCCTATATTTTATGAGGTAGAGTGTTATCATAGAGCGTAAAGAGAACAGCAGCGTTTGTATTATGGATTTGTTTCTGGCGTGATGGTTCCATCGAGCGGAGATATTTTGATACCCATATGGGTTATTTTTGTTTGGCTAAGCTTATTGAAGAGCGATTGTATTAATCTATTTACATACGCGCCTCCACATCCACGGATCCAATCATTCCCATCCTCGTTATTGTTGTGCTTGATGTCCACTGGATTTACAAGCCGCGGCCACAGTCGCATCTTCAGAGAACTGATATATGTATCATCTCCCGGACCTGTACGGAGGGCACCTTATTGCGAGGTCAAATTAAGGTTTGTTTCACGTGTCAAGCCAAGCTTGAAAGCTTGGCTTTTGGGTGCTTATTAAGGAATTTCACCAGAGCAGAGGCTGCAGAACAGAGCAGAGCTGCTACCACTTTGATAGACCTTCAATTCTCTCCTCTCTCGGGCCATGTCTGAGCTATTGTGTGATTACAATTGGGACTAGAATCCATCTCTCTATCAGTCATGGGGTCGATAAGCAGAGAAACCTCTTTCCTGCTTGAGCGCCAGGGTTCAAGCTATCCATCTACGTCACAGGATGAGCCGCGCCCTCGTCGGATGGTTACCTTCGATCCCATCGCTCAAAGCAGGAGCAGTACATCAAATGATACAGCCACCTCAAGGGACTTCTTGAAGCCTCCCCATACACGCAACTCCCCAATGCAGAATAGCTCTGGCGGCAGTGGCGCTCCTGTCCTAGCTGCGCCCAACAGCAAGGTCCGTCGTCGGCACAGCCAGGGAGCTATCTACAACCCGGTAGCCACGGCTCCCCCTCCAGGCCATCCTAAAATTGGCCCTCAACGAACAACTAAAAATACTCAGAAGCTTAAATTGCTTCCCAATCCCGTTACCGGTGGAGAAGACCAATTCTCAGAAGAAGAGATCCCGAGAGAAGTGTATTCGCAGATCACCCGGATTAAAGAGCCAACTGCCAGAAAACATGCAGCAAGGCTAGGTAAAGCGGATCGGGACCGCGTCCCGCGCGTGACGGCATATTGCACTGCGAGTTCGTATACAATCGACGGCGTCGTACGGTTTCTTAAATCCCGTGCTGAAACGAGAGGCACTAATCCAAAGCTTTTCGATGAATGTGTTTATTCGCCGTATAACTATGACTATGAGCAGAAGAAAAAACGCTCCACTTTGCTTAAGGAAGATGAACAGGAAATACCAGCAGTCTCAGAAATTCCCAGTCAGGGACATGAGCCGCGGCGGTTTTCTGATAGTGAAATCGAGGTCGAAAGCCAGAGGATTCAGCAGCAAGAGGGGCTTATCGACTTACACGAAAACCACCACGGGCCACCAACAGACTCTTCTACCGATATATCTACCTCCCACGCTCTAGGACCTATATCCTCCGCTGACGACGCGAACGGGTCCGATTTCGATACATCAATCCATACTCCAGAAGTATTTCTTTTCGACTACGGCACTATAGTAATATGGGGCATGACACCTGCCCAAGAAACCCGCTTCCTCCGCGAGGTATCCAGATTTGCGACTGCAGTCCTCAGTAGCGAAGACACGCAGATCGAAAACTTCAATTTCTACTACACTCGCGACTACCAAGCTCGCATCTACAACGACTTCATCTCCCTACAAGATCCGCACAATTATATGACTAAGCTCGCCATCTCCCACGCCCTCTCCCAGTCCGTCAAGACGTCGCTCTTCGAGGACCTGGTTTCGGAAACCATCGCGAAGACCTCACCGCTGCCCGCACAGATTGCAGAGACGGGTAGCGTGAACCTCACGCGTAGACAGATTAATATGCAAATTGGCGAATTGTTTATTCTACGGATTAATATACATCTGCAAGGGTCTGTTTTGGACAGCCCTGAACTTATGTGGGCGGAGCCACAGTTAGAACCCGTCTATCAGGCCGTACGTAGCTATCTGGAGATGGACCAGCGGGTGGGATTGCTAACAGAGAGGCTGGATGTGATTGCGGATCTGCTTGCGATTTTGAAGGATCAGTTGAGTCATCGGCATGGGGAGTATCTGGAGTGGATTGGTAAGTGCAAAATCATCCCCATCCATGTTGGTTTTACCTGATGAATACATTTCACCCGTCATGTTCTTTATTTTATTTTATTTTTTGATACTCAAGACTCGAAACCAACTGACATTTGTACAAAATTTAGTAATCATCCTCATCGCCGCTGAAATTGTCGTTGCGGGCATAAACATCGTAGTTGACCTGTATGCAGGAGTCGATTAGAACAACCACACACCATGGAGAGCGAGCGGTAAATAAACCATCCCATCCCACGACGCCTCTTAAACATCAACAATCATGATATACTTCGGCTACCCTAACCTTCCGCCCTCAAAGCCTTGTATATTTACGTGTGTCTACATTTCAAGATCCTATTTCATACGACCGTCTGTCCACGCTGTATATCTGTATTATGTATACTGTACATATCTTCACATTATTCCTAGATATCCATATCTCTCCGGTACAACGAGTTACGCAGCCTTATCTTCATTTCAATTCCAAGTTCGAATTTCCTTCTCTATTTTACTCCCTCTCACATGCACGCTACTTAGTTCTCTCACCCAGCCTCATCAAGATCATTATGGTTGTATTTTACCGCTCTATAGGGAATGTATTATTATCTTGCCCTTCTTTTCTATTGACTTGTCCATTTGAGGTAGTATGAACACTCGTAGTTCATTTGATTAGATACGCAACTAAATAATAGAGAATAAACGATCAGATGGACACCAGACGGGGCTACGTACGTAAAACCGATTCATGAGTAAGGATTATCGTTGGCTTCTTTTCTCTCTTTGGCCCCCCATCCCTCCACCTCTCCCAAGCTTTCATCCAGGAATGATACGGATGGGCAAAAGAAGAAGTTTGAATATACGAACCCAACCCATTCCAGGTGCGGAAAAGCGAAGGTCTCTATGGAACGAAATACCAACAAGACAACAAACGAGCTTTATATATATATATTTCATGTTTCATTTCAGTTTTTCATTTCATCCCATCCCATTCTCATTCCATATCCCCGTTCTAAAATTTAGGGGTTTCAAGATATGACAAGCGCAGCAAGCATTCGCAAAAGGCGAGAAGAAAGAGAGAAAATACAAGGAACTACGACAGCGAACACTCAGCGCTGAAGCAAAATTTCCACGCTCATACCATGTGGGATACGCATATTCTAACCGGACAGGGCAGAAATGAGCTATCACACATCGAGGAATCTCGCGGATGGCTGAGAGAGATAGTAACAATGCGGGTGGTATGCCACAAGTGCATGCGGCTAGTTTGCGAGGAACAAAAATAGGATGACGGCAAAACAAAGGGGGGAAAGATTAAGCACCGAACCGCCTGCATAGGAGGGTTGAGAAGAAGGGGAAATTACAAAAAGTATTTGACAGTAGATTTGAACAGAAATGAAGGAGAAAATACCGACCCAGTGTGCGCCTAGGAGAGAAGGAAAAAATGAAAGAGTGAGAGCCAAGAGAAAGGGAATGAGGGCAGAAGAGCCAATCCTAAAGTGTGGAGGGAAAGAAACCTCACACAAAGGTTGCTTCCTGGTGAAAGAACAGCAATTTCGGATTTTTTAAAGGAAAAGGCTAGGCAGGGAGGGAATTAGATGGCTAAACAAATACGGGAGGCAAAATGGAGGGAATAAGGAATATATTTGGGGGATTAAACTGGAAACATAGCATATTACCGGTGACGAATGTGCCGTGTGGGAATAATACATGGCCCCGTCTAAAGGACGAAAAGTGCTGGAAGATAAACGACGAGACGGACAGGGGGGATGCGAGGCCGGGGAGACGGTTGAATGACAGGTTGTATATCATAGACCCCTTTGGAGGCCAGGAATCAACGCCCATCAAAATAAAAGAAAGCGGACAAAGTAAATGGTGGCTTCGTTCCTCCCTCTGTTTTCATCCCCTTCTTTAGTTACGTATTATATTATTGCAAGCCATCCCTACTCTCGCGCCGGTCTCCGTACTGCCTTTTCGTCGCTGGGTCTAACGATTCCCAATGCTCCGCAAGTGCACGATCGACATCAGCAGGCGTAATATTCGTCTCGGGACCGTACGCGTCAACCAGGTCATGGATGACCTTGTCCCGTGTACGGTTGGTGAAGTCCTCAAAGGCAGATATATATCGCTGATTGGCGTGTTGAGGCTCCTGGATTACGGCTGCCGTAGGGCCTTGGGCTTGGACAAAATTGTTGCCGCTGCCGCAATGGTGTCGGTGGTGGTGGCTATTGTTGTGATTGGTGGGAGATTGGGCGAGAGGGGGCTGGCGGTTATAATGATGGTCTATTGCTGAAGAGGAAGATATGGGAACGGGTGGTGGGTTATAGTGTTTTATACGGCTGTCGAGGTCGTGGGTGGTAGGTGGGGAACGGCGTCTAGTAGCTGGCAGGAGAGGTGGGAGTGTGGTGGAGGTGTTCATGTTCAGGTTCATGAGGTCGATGTCTTTGTCTGGCGTGTCGAGGTTGGCAGTGAAGTCGTCGGCGCGGCGGCTACGTTTCACTCGAAGAGGGCGTTCCTGGGGCTATATATAGGAAGAAGGATAATAGAGAGATAATGTTAGCAAAAAAGGTCCCAGCAGAACAAAGCGCAATGCAACGAACGAGCCAGAGCGGGGAGCTTCGGAGGCAGCGTACAGTTGGCGGATGCCCCTCGGAGCTCCCTTCAGTGCCATCATCCATGTAATCAATTCCGTAAGACGCACGCTTGACACCCACGGAAGAAGAGCCTTCCCCCGCTCCTCCCGCTCCTCGTCCGCGATTCGCATGCGCCGCGGGCGTGTAATGAGGATCCATCTCCTTCAACAACGCCACAGTACGCGCGCGCAACTCCGTACTAATCCCCTGTTCCTCAGCCATGCCCGTCAACACCGCCAGGCGCTCGAGAAGCATACAGGACTCTAGTCGCATTTTCTGTATGTAGCGGTGACCCTGAGCGTTGCGGATTCGCATTGCGTCGTTGGCGGCTTCGACTTCGTTCAGGCGTTTTTTCAGCTCGATACATTTGCGTTTGTAGGCCGCTTCTATGCTAGGTGGATTTGGCGGGGCGGGGGCATTATTATGGGTGTGGTTGTTGTGGTGGGTAGAGCCCTTTGGAGGGCCCTCGTGGCTATCCATGGCAGGTGTCGTTCGTCTCTTGCACTTTGCAGAGAGATAGACAAGATTTTAGTTAGATAATGCCTCATGCAGTCAAATAATCGAAACTTTAGATTTACCTGGGCTCCTCAGCGTGCCTCTCACCCGCCTTGGCTGCTCGTGGAATTCTGTTTTCGTGCCCGTGCCAGAGTGCAAGGAACAGGGCGCCAGTTGCCGTAAGACGGGTGTAGATTTGTGGCAGGTCAACGTTCCGGATGGATGTCCACGGGAATTGAAGGGGCATACACAAGCACGAGTTGGCAAAATAACGCAAACTGGATGCCGATAAAGGGTGTGGAAACGGGTTTGAATTGAAGTCTGGCTTTGAGAGTCGTTACTCAGGCGCCGCTTGGTTCGCTTATGGCGTGTTCTCGAGATTCTAAGCGTTCTGCCGCGAGGATTGCACTACCAAGCTAGTTAGCGTATCGGCTGTATTAATATTACTCCGAAGGCGGTGATAGACGTGGCTGGCAGATACGAAACAAGAAAAGATGCTACCTATATATATATATAATCCCTCTCAACCAAGAGAGAGCATTACAATATCGGGGGGTTTTTCTTATTTAGTTTCATACGCAAAAACCCAATATATACTTCTCCAAGTAGAAACAACAAGTGTCAAGACGTAATCACCGCTTAGGAAACCACACCAACCCAATCATCAGTAAATATGAGAAACAGAAAAAAAAAAGGAAATCAACATATGCAAATCGTTAAGACTCAGCATAACCATACATGAACCGTGACGGGAACAAAAGAAACAAGACCAGAAATAAGATACTGTTTACAAACGCGGCTCACTGATGCAAGATGACAAGATAAAGAGTGCATCAGAAAGCCAAAAATTAGACGCCAAGAAGTATAGAAATACGACGAAAAACCCGACTAGCTCGCTGCTCAAGCGATTTGTGCTAAATAGGATATCTTGATCGCACGCTTCCAGGTATATAGATATGACTTAAGCAAAATGGAAAGGGAAAGGAAAAGAAGGAAAAAGGGCAATGACAAGGCCTTGATGATAGGCAGAGATAATGAAAACGAGAGAAAAAATGGTAGAATGTCGTCAATCATAACTAGTATGTAAATCGGTCCCAAAATGACCTTTCTCTATCTAGCGTCGTAAAAGATATGATCAAAGTTTGTCGGAAATCGTTCATTTTTCGTGTTTCAATGAAATTTCACGATTCAGGCTTCTTTTTTTCTCGGTGTTTTCGTCGTCTTGGTTGGTAATTTTATAGGACTCCGGGAATCCCGATAGCGTCGTTGGTTGGGATTTCTGATCTGAGGGTCACCACGACCGCGGGCGGGTGGGTTTAGGGGGGAAATATTCGTGTAGGAACCAAGGAAATGACATCACAGTCCACAGACACCCTTGGAAAATTTTAACCCGTGTTCGAGAGGTCGAGGGGGCTAAAGCGAAACACTGTCCCTTCATTTTTGTCATGTGCGGTTGCTTTCGTTTTACCTTGTTGAACTACAGCAACAATAATAATAATAATGGACATAGAAATTCTCTTCAAAACAACATCAAGAACGGAATTGCTGTTTCATTTCAGGACCAGTAACAAGTTCTTCACCAGGAGGTTCCTATTTACTGGTTTAGCGATGTATCCGTCCATCCCCTTTGACAAATATGATTCCGCATCACCCTTTAGGGCATTCGCTGTCATCGCGATGATAGGGACATCAAGTTTCAACGTGTTCCGTATCTCCATGGTGGTTTTCACGCCATCAAGGACGGGCATGTTGATATCCATCAAAACGGCGTGGTAGGAAAACGGTTTCGCCCGCAGCAGTTTTAACGCTTGGGCACCATCATAAGCAGCGTCGATTCTCTCAAAGCCCAAGTTGTTCAATAACTTCAGCATAACGGCTTGGCTTATCCTGTTGTCCTCGACCAACATAAGTTGCTTACCGGAAGCAATGGTTCTGAGCTCCTCAATCGGCTCCACCGTGGCCGGAGAGCATTCTTCCGAATCACTCGAACTGGACGCCATGCTCACTTTCCCTAATCGCACGTAAAACCAAAAGATGGAACCCCGTCCGCTTTTGTTGGGATGATATCCGATTGAGCCTCCCATAAGGTCAACTAGATTTCTGCAGATCGCTAGTCCGAGGCCGGTTCCTTGGTAATGCTCGCCGGTTTCGCTGAGAGACTGAGCAAAAGGGTCGAAAAGATGTTTCGCAGTGGCAGAAAGCACCCCAATTCCCGTATCGATAACTTCAGTATAAATATGGAGGGCTGATCCCTTGTCATCCTTTAGGACAGCCGTGACGTGGATCGACCCGGATTCGGTAAACTTGGCCGCGTTCACAAGTAAGTTCTGGAGTATCTGTTGATACCGCGTAGGGTCACCTTTGCAGAATTCTGGTATATCCTCGGCTATTTCGGACGTCAGCGTCACCCCAGGCTTTAACAAGTTCCTGCACTGTTGGAGCGAAACATTTTGGATTTCTCGTACGTTCAACAGGTCTGAATTGAGGGAGAATGTTCCAGAGGAGAGCTTGGAATAGTCAAGAACATCGTTGATGACACGCAGGAGGATGGATCCTGAACGCTCTACTATCTCAGCAAATTCGCATTGCTTAGTAGTCAACCCAGTGTCTTTAAGCAAGGTCAGGGCAGAGAGCATTCCGTGCATCGGGGTGCGGATTTCGTGGCTCATATGAGCCAAAAACTCGGACTTGAGCTTGGCGGATTCTTCGTAGGCGGCGATCAAGCGGTCCTCCGTTTCCTTCCTATCTGTTATATCGCGCGTGATTTTACTGAAGCCGATCAAGACGTTGAAGCGGTAGACGGGGCTGATGACAACGTTGGCAAAGAATTTGGAGCCGTCTTTGCGAACACGCCAACCCTCATCCTCTAGCTTGCCATCCAATATGCATTTGGCAAGCTCTTTGCGTGGCTTGTCTTTCATACGGTCCTCCGCAGAGTAAAATACTGAAAAATGCTGCCCGATAATTTCCTCTGTAGTGTAACCCTTGAGGGCCGAAGCTCCTCCATTCCAGGTAGCCACAATCCCTTCAGGTGTCAACATGAAGATCGCAACATGCTTAACGCTGTCGATCAGCTGCTTGTAGACATCTGGCGAGTCGAGAGACGGGTTGACGCCATCGCCCGCGCTGTGTAGCTTTGTAATATCGCAGCTCTCCAGCGTAACATAGATGAGGGAGTCGTTTTCAAAGACAGGTGAGATTCGCAAATTGCAGTAGTAAGCGTGCGAGTCCACTTCAATGCTATCAATTTTGCAGGCGCTCTTGAGCAAGATCGCCTTGTCGATTCCTCTTCGAAGTTCATCGGTGCTGGTCACGGGGATTTTGGAGGGGTGGAGGTCATACACGCTGGCGCCGATGCACTCATCGCGGGGGAGCCCACAAAAGTCAAGTTGGCTGCGAGATATCTCGACGATATTGAAGGAAGGGTCCAAAACAATAGTCGGAACTGGCGATAAGGAGATAATTCTGTCCATTATACTTGGACAAGAGGGCGGGCACTGGGGAACGACATCGGATGATGCAACCGATACAACCTTTGAGCGGATTGCAAGGGCGGATTTGAGCTCAAGAGTAGGTGGGTTATCGGACTTCATGTCCAATTATAGCGGATACGTACTATTCATTCTTGGTCAAAGTGAGGCGCCAATGAAGGGAAAAATAAGGAAATCAATGGAAAGGGACAACAGCAGCAGGTAGCTAGAGATATAGAGTAAGTAAAGTGGCGACGATTAAGAAACAAATCCCACCCGCTCGCTCTCTCCGTATGAGCTTCGGGGCTTGTATTCCTTCGTCTTGGTGAAGAGTGAATCGACCCACGGCTTATTCATTCCTCAGTGCTCACTGCCTAACGTTCCAGACCAGGTGGATTTTCTTGGGCCAGTAGTACGTTACTGTGTCGCCCATCAGCCAGCCCAGGCTTGTTGTTCATTTAATTTCCCTGTAGCTTCAGAGCCCCTCGCCACCCACAGTGCCCATGGCCGAAGCGTTGGAATTGCTTGCGAGTCTCGGCTTCACTACTCGAGCAGGCCGGCAAATCCACGCCAACCTCGTGGATGGTCAAATGTTTGATATTATAGAGGGGTTGCTTGCTAGCAGCTTAACGTCAAACGTCGTTGGATGCAGGTTCTTAGTTAACTAGAGGTTTGATCTCGTCGTCTAGAAGCGGCTCGGGCCCGGCGGCTGCTTAGCTCAGCAGCTACACACCCCTTCTGCACTGACCATCTTTGACCTGTGTATATATAACTGCTTAACTTCTACTAGTTATGTTATCTTACGTAGCTGACAGCCCCCGAGGTATGTTCCATACCCCCAGAAGGACCTCGCTGCCCGTGCAGAATAGGTTATTATTACTACTGTCGCGATTTACCTTCAGTCGATGAGCCAAGATCCGGATGTCCAAAACGCTGGAGCGCAGATTCCCGGAGGACATACATTACTGTCCAGCTCATCCTCACGTCTCCACCCAGCTTCTCACATGGCATTCCCGACAAAAAAACGGGTAAAACAAATAAAAAAGAGTAGCTTAGGACAAGGAAATCTCGGTTCAAAAACGTCCCGAGCTCTTTTCGTGTACCAGGTGGGCGGCTCTACCAACGGGGGTTAAAAGCCTGACTCTCAGATTTTCTCCAGGCGGCGAAAATTCCGCCTCCCGCAGTCCCGGCCGCTCCAAGCCCCCCAAATCAAACTATTACTATTTCCCGACCTCGGTCCTTTTCGGGAGCTTTATTGTTGCCCGAAGCCAGCAACTCTTGTTACGGTGGGTCAGTCATGCGATTCCTTTTCAAATTCGCATTTCGATGTCCGATCCACGCCAAGAACCTGTCATTTTGCAGACGCAGCGTAACGATACCACGGATGCATCCATGCTGAAATACTTCGAAGGCGGTTCAAAACAAAGCCCGTGATAAAGGATTATCTTGGAAGTGCTAGTAATCTCTGGCACATTTTGTCCTTACCGCCTATCGAGCGGTTAGTGTCCAATATATTTGGCCCTTGTCGTGAAGAGAACCCACCCTCCCCGAGCTTCATATATGGATCAGGCAGCTAGATAGGATCAAAACAAGCTTGGGATAAGCCAGTATAAGCATCAACAAGAAACGGCAAAACTAGGGAAGACACGAAGGAGGAAGGCGAAATTACGGGGAGATAAAAAGAGGAGGAACTGGCCCAGCAACATGACTAGTACCACTCTTCTTTCCGCAATCCGTCCTATTCAGGCTCCTCTTAAGTTTTTTTTTAAAAAAAAGGTTTTCCTGACCACCTAATTCTAACCTACTTAAGTTCCCTCCCCATTGCAGCCAAAAATTTCTGCAATCGATGAATGGTTTTCCACCCCACTCCTTTAGCCACGAGAGTCTCGCTACTTGGATTACCCGAGCTCGTGGCCTTGTACTACAAATATGTAGTAATAACGGCTTAGATAGTGGCTTATCTCCCAAGACCCGATTCTCGTCTCTAATTGGGGTGCACGCACCTACTGCAAATTATGGCTATCCCTAATCAGTATAGCATTCGCAGGGTTTTCTTACCTGCAATCTCTACCTGGGCGAATAGGAGCGCACGGCAATGAATCACAGTAAAATTTTAACGAGCTCGTCGCGCTCTTGTCCAGGGAAGGAATGGGGTCTCTCCTGTCCTTACTGACGGTGTTGACTCTGCTCGAAATCATCTTGTCAAGACGGTCAACTCAACCACCCCCACGGCTCCAAAATATCATCTCCCAAAACCATTATCTGCGCTAGAAGCTGGTGAGGATCATGCGTAATTTAATGGCGATGACCTGGCCACTTAGCATCTTTAAAGTTCCCAGCGCGTTGTTCCCTCATGGTTTTAAGGGGTTTTTTATGAGAACCGATGACATATCCGACACAATCGTCGTGCCTTATCAAGGCAATAGGAAAGCTGAATTAGAGGCTTCCAGCCAATGAGCAGTCATAAATTGGGATGGCAGAAAATTACACTCATTGTGTCGTCGCCTCCAGACGAGGAGATAATAAGAGCCTGTGGAAATGAAGACCGTGTCTCCAGCTATTTATTCAACTCCATTCCCAACATGTTCTGCCCGACATCTCGAGTCAGACAATACGACCCACCAATCATTTAGCCTCCCTCACTTCTTTAGCAAACTCTACCGTTGTTCGCAACCATGACATCATAAACCAACAGACGCTAGAAAGCTTGGCCAATGTGGAGATCATTCTTGGCAATGCTCTGTACTGTACTTCACAGAGACCGCATGCCTCGCTCTGTGCGAGTCAGTTAACGTATTTCACCCCTTTTTGAGACACACGACATGTTGAGACGCTTTGTACCATCATCCTAAATCTTTGAATCAAAATGTACTCTCTCATACTAAATTAGTGTGATGGTACAAAGCGTCTCATAATGTGGTGCGGCTCAAAAAATGGAGAAAGTCGCTACACCTAACTACGGGGAACCCTGCAAAGTGGTAGTTACCTGAGTCTCTTCCAATGTGTCTCCCCATCGGGCAGCATTCTGCAAAATCCTCGCCTGAGGGGCTATTGCTGGTTGGTGGGAACTGCTTGAAAGTGGTGGTGGGCAAGCATATATTAATTTTGATACTACTACTCCAGCTATCATTGGATTTTGCTTTAACTCAAATCATAATTTTTATATTTGTCTTCTTTTTTCATTGAACAACTTAAACTAACCCTACGCTAGGCCTTGGGAAGTATATGCGTTTTTTGCGTTCATCAAATCCAGACTAACCCACGCCTTTCCAACGTCTTATTTTCCCTTCACCCCTTTCGCTCTCATTATATTATACTCCTGCTTTCACCAACCCCCTCCCTCGCCCGGGGGCACCCCCGCGAACCTCTTCTATTCTTTACCTGAGAACAGAAAAATCATTGAAATTCCTGTGCATATATCTATATCTATCTCTATATAGAAAAAGAAACACAATAGCCATCACCACTAAACTACTAATCCTCTGTTCGCCTGTCAATGTGCCCCCCTTGTATTTCCATTTACTCCTCCGAGAAATAACAAAAACAAATATACATATGCATATATGAATATATGAAGCTTCGCCATGCTGCACGCGATTTCCGACCAACCCAATGCCAATGCCATCGCCATTATATGTGATATCAATATTTATTAGGTCCCAAGAGTCACCAAATCAACAATCACCGACCATTCGCATCAGCACTACTGCTGACATCGGTGAAGGCATCCTGCATTTCCAAGTCCTGGATAGAGTTGTGTGACGCGGTAGGTACGGGCTCAGTGGCTTCGGCTGGAGGCGGGGAAATGACTGCTACTGACGAGGACGGGGACGACGACGAGGACAACGACGAAGATGATTCCGCTTCAGCGACGGAGGAAGATGAGGCGTGGTTATGAGTATTATCATTGCGGTGATGGTGGCAATGGTGGGGGTCGTTGAACTGGTGATGCGTATTGCTACTGATATTGCTGAAGCCTAGTTCTGCGGTGCTGGACTGGCTATCGGAGTCTGAACCCGGGTCGTCGAAGGCATCATCGGGCGGCGCAAAGGACCAGACCTAAAGCTTTGGTTAGTGTTCTGGAAAACCTTACAATAAATGAATAAAGAGCAAAACGGGGCGTGCATCTGGAAATATTACACTCACCTCCATAATAGTCCTACCCGCCCTCGTCGCCATAACCACCGCCTTTTCGTCCTCAAACGCAACCCTCCACACCGCCTCCGCCGGCTGACTCAACTCTCTCACCAGCTGTCCCGTTCTCAAATTCCAAATCTTAACCCGCCCATCACTCCCACCGCTCACAATGCGATTATCATCGAATTGTAAACTCGTGATGCTATTATCGTGGGCTGCCAGTCGGTGGATGGCCGCCATGCGTAGCAGGGACCAGACACGGACAGACCCGTCCGAACCACCAGTGACAAGCGTATCGCCACGCATCTGCAGCTGGCCAACAAGAGACGTGTGCCCCTGTAATATGGCATGGCACTGGCCTGTTTGCGGGTCCCAGATGCGTACGCTCGTGTCCAAGCTACCAGTCGCGATCCGCTTGCCGTCGAATGCGATGGCGTAGATTTGGCTGAAGTGGCCGGCTAACGTCCTCAGACAGCGCCCTTCGGATATGTTCCAGATCTTCGCGGTTGTGTCGTAGCTACCCGAGACGACAAGATCACCATGGATGCCCAAGCAGCGGACGCTGGCTTGGTGGCCGACAAGGACGTTTTTGCATACGCCCTTGGCGAGGTCCCATATTCGTAAGGTCGTATCGCGGGATCCTGAAATGGCTGTGGTTGCATTTGACATTTTTAAACAGCGCACGGTGGAGGTATGTCCTCGCAGCTTGTGGATGCTCTCACTATACCCGGGTGTTAACTAGATCGTCATACTTGTGTTTGATGATAAGGTGGACAAAAAACATACCCAGTAGCCATGTTCCAAACACGTACGTCGCGGTCACATCCACCACTGACAAGAATATCATCCCACGGTACCATAGCCCAAACGCCCATGACATGCCCTTGTAACGTCCGCTGATGCTCACCTGTTGTATTAAATATGTGAATCTTGGCATTATCCAGCGCGACGGCGATATACTTGGAGGTCAAATGCAGGCTTGTAACAACGCCATGATCAGGCGTGATGTGTTTGGTGAAGACATGTCCACCCTTTCTCCAGGCCGCTTCGACCATGTATCTCTGTTTAAAATGAGATCTGTAGCTTTTGGTCTTCGCCCTGCGTTTTCGGGAATGGTTTCCTAACGACGAGGGTGCTCTGGATGTCGTAGGCGTCGTAGCTCTGCTATTATTCCTTGCGGAAGGGCCGTCGCTGCTCTGCCAAGGTCGTTGCGCGAACCGGGGATCGTACGGGTTTGGAGGAAGGGTGAATGAGAATGGTTCAGAATCCTCCTGGGTGTCTTCGGACATGGTTCTGTAAGCGTGATTATCACAAAGGAGCTTCCAGGTCATATCATCATTCAAAAGCTCATGCCATCGTATTGATACTTGTGATGCTCGAGCAAGAGTTTTGGGATCATCGATAAATGAAAGGATCTGTTGATTCTCATTAGCATAAAGGCTCCGCAGGGCGGCTAGAACATAGAAAAAATAAAGTAACGAGAATCAAAATATTTACCCTCAAACATAGCTCATTCGGAAGCACTTTAAATGGATCCTTCTTCAACCGCGGGCTGACGAAGTGATAGACAAAACTGAGTTGCTGATTATCACATAGATTCAGGATCTCCGCCAGAAACCTCTGGCCCTCCGCCCGCCCTAGCAAGCTGAAATGCTGTCTCGCATCCCGCAAAAATGTATCCTCGTCTTCGCCAGCGCTCTGCCAGCTAGGGGCTCGCTGGTGCGGTGCCGGGCTTGGGGCGGGAGTCGGAGGGGAAGCGGGAGCAGAAGGGTGGAGGTTGTGAAAGGGAGAGATGGCCTTGTTAGGGGTGTGCAACGGTTTAGGGCGCGAGTGTACGGAGGAGGACGAGCTGTTTGTCGACCTTCTGCGAGTGGTTATAGTCGGTAGGGCAGCAGAGGAGTTATCATCGCTCTCCTCATCCGGATCTATCATCGTGGCTCGCCGCGACGAGGAATAGCGAGGGAAATATCTCGGCTCCATGGGTGCCGGAGGAGAGGGTTTTTTGGGTGGAGAACAAGATGCAAGCTCTTAGGGGTGAGAGTGTATTTAAGAGAGGTATCGTCAACGAGGACGTAGACTCTCTGACTCCTTGAGTTGGGATTTCGAGATCCCTCATGTATCGACAGTGGCGGCGGGCTGCTGTTGGGGGCAGGCGAGAGGTTGCCTTGTCTCGTGCCAAACCAGGGCCAGGGGAGGACGAAACCCCGACAGCGCTTAGAACACGGCTAACCAGTCTGGCCGGACGAGAGACCGCTTTTTTGCCTTTGCCGGGTGGTTTCACACAAAGGACAGTTATAGTGGCGGAGGGAGAGTTCTTGATATGGAGGTGGTTGAGGTCGAAGAATAGAGCTGCAGTCGGAGTGGGAAAAAAAAATGAGGTGGTTGAGGTTATTTAAGGGAGGCTGGCCGCATACAGGCTGGCATGTCACCGGTACCTCGAGATGCAGCTTAACTAGGCGCAGAGTCAAGTACTAGTGACTTCTTGATCGAACAATTGCCGTTCGCGTGATTTTCTCGGCTATAGTCCAACAGATGAAAGAACTTCTATCTATTTTCTAAAAAGGCCTTTACATCCTTTCTATAGTGGGTTTGATCATGCAGCCGGCAGCTAAATCGCAGCCAAGGACCAAGGGGATGCTTAACTTACCGATTTTGAGTTCAGAGCGAGGAACTTCTTGAAAGCAGCGTTCGTATTTGGACGAAGCTATTTAATTAATTGAAGTATCTACAAGCATAAGAAGTAAACAAATAGAATAGAATAGAATAAAATTAAAATTAATAGCTTGATTCCTCAGCAAATGCATTACTAGGTGTTAAGAAGAGGAATCAACGGCTACTTCCTGTGCAGCCATCTGCGGGTTGTGTCGAGCACATACTACTCCAAATACATACATTCATTTATTTAGTGCATGGCATCTTCCGGCCCCAGCGCATAATCCAACTACTCAAGAGGCAATTAGATCATGAAAAGAAAACGAACTCCAAGAGGAAAATGCAAAAATTACTCCCGAGGCGTGATAGCATTATTAAAAAGACATTATGTATAAGAAAGAACAGACAAAGATGAAAATATACAAGTACGAAAACAAGGATAGAATAAATTAAATTAAAGAAGTAGAAAAAGCACACACGTCTATAACTGCCGCTGGACCTTAACGCTTTATTTAGCAAAAGAAGACAGGAAAAGGAAAAAATGATTGCAAAAGTTCATATGCAAGGGTAGATCTTTCTGAAAATAAACGCTCTCACTGAAGGGTATCTCCCCCTATCTATCTAAAGATAAATATTGGTCTTTTACTCTCTCTTATTTATGCTTGCAAAATACACAGTAGATCAAGAGTTATAATATCCCCTTAGATTCATCATGTTTGCTGAGGAGCTTAATAAAGTTCCTAAAGAAACAGGAAAAAAGGCATCCTTAAAACAAAGGAGGTCTGTTTAACTAGTGTGCCGCATAGGTCGGCCAGCAGCTATGTGTCGATGGCACAGCTGTGGCGGTTGGCGATAGTGACGCAACTTTCTAACAATGGCTCCGAGACGAAGGTCAATCTGCAGGGGAAGGAAGATGGGCCGATCCCTTCCCGTTTCCCATTTCCCATAAATGTTTGTATGGCTATTATAGGTTCTCCTACGCCCAGAGCCAGAAAGGAGGAGGAATGGGAGAAAAATCTTTACGTTCTTCTTTCCCCAAACTCAATGAGCATGTCCAATCTGTAGGAATACGGGCAGAATCATCCCCACAACAGTTGCGGTCAAGTCTCTCATGGACTTTTGCTGGGTTCTTTGTGAATTTTCCCGACCATCCACTACGTATCCGTTGGCATATGTTGAATCCCGTCTGGACATTTCAGTCGTCGCGCCCGTTTCATGCATCGTGTGCATAGCGACGTACCTATGTATGGCGAACTGATTAGAACTTGCTCCTTACGCCTTTAAAGCCCTCCATCTCATGAGAAATAATACAGTGAAAACGAAATAAAAATACTCACAAAAATGTCCCCGCCGAAAACAACAACAACACTCCCGTCCGCCACCGTGTCGCCAGCTCATCACCCGCTTGGCCAGCCATAACCGTATTAGCAACAATCCACGTAAGAAACGCACCCACTGGAGCCGCTAGGCTAAATATCAATAAATGTCCCCGTACCGCACGGGTCGATAGCCCTTGCTTTAACAATGCTGTAGTGAGGCCAAACGCGGCTGGCGCTTTATGTACCATGATGGCCAAGAAGATGATGAAGCTGAGGCTGGTGCTGGATATTGATGCGCCGAGAGCAACTCCGTCCGCCGCAGCGTGGATTGCTAGGCCAGTTGTGATTGCGAAGTCATGACGGGCTGCACTGCTGGCGGTAGCGGTTGACAGTAGACCGCCGCTGTTGCGTGAGGGGGAGGAAGCGAGGCCGAGGCCGAAGCCTAGGTTATCTAGTGATATGTGGTAGGGGCGTTGTTGATGTTTTGAGGATGCAGAGGCTACAGAAGGGAGCGTGTCGATCAGGTACATTAGTATGAAGCCGCTTATGAGGGCGATGCCGACCCAAGCGTGTGGTGAGGTTGGTTTGGGCTTCGCTCCGTCTTTTTCCTTGGCTTGCGTGTTGTCATTGTCGTGGTTCTTGTGGTCTCCTAGGATGCGCAGTCTTCCGCCTTCGCCTGATTCTCCGGGGTCTACTGCTTCTGGGGAATCTGCCATTGTTGTATATTCCGATTGGGATGTGTCTCTCCGGATAACAAGGGTGTTGATAGCTGGGTGCTGCCAGCGTGTATCAAGCGCATGGTTTTTTCCCCCATTGATAATGTTCACATCTCTCTTGTTGGGGTGTGTGTGCGATACTACGGCGGAGCTGTAGAGCGTCTCGACTCCTTCAGGGATAATAACGATCAGCGATGTGCCGACCAGGACGCCCATGCCCAGGGAGGAGATAAGGCGTAGCTGCGACGAGGAGAGCGAGAAGGAGAGCGGGAGTGAACCAATGACGAAGGAGCTGTAACCACGATATAGAAAAGAAATGAGATTTGTTGTTCGAGAAATAACACCAGCAGTAAAATATTTTTGGGGCCAGTGGTGCGGGTGGAGGTAGTCTTACACGATCGCCATTAGCAAGCTTAGGCTGAGCAAGGTGAAAAGCCCGTCCATTATGACCGGAGGGGATCTGGACTATTTCGACCAATTTCGGATATATAAACGGCTTTTATCTATCCATCGCGAAGAGCGCCCTTGAGTCGAGGACTGGATCGCAGCGAGGGATGACGGGCGGAGGGGGGAATGAGGAGGAAAAGGAGGAAAATGCCACAGCGAAATTGAGAGCCGAATTCTTCTCTCTTTTCTCCGCTATATATACTCAGTATTAATTTTATGGATTAGACAACATTGAGATCGGGCGGGCATAATTTGGCCTTTGGGGATGAAGACAGGTTTGGTTTATATTAGCGTTGCGAACTTGCGGCCAGCCAGTTGAGCCTATTTAAGGTGCGGGTCTGCGTTGGAGGCTAGGCGTCACAACGCGCCTACTACCAAGCCCGAAGCTATTATTATTAATATTGATTTGCGGTTCACAGTTTTTAAGGAAAGCTCTCGAACAGCGACCGGTCTCAGTGCGTCAGGGTCTAGAAGGGCCCTGGCCATATAAATTCATCCCACGCTTTTCTCGTCAAATTGCAAAGCTCCAACTCTTTTGCACCAGCCGTTCACAATTGCCTATTTAGGCATAGCAATCACATGACTTTGGATTACCTCATCCATCCTTTAACTAGTTAATTGCCGAACTAGCCCAAATAGGTAAGTTAATTCGGCACTTCAACCTCATAGCTCGACGCGACGGAAAGAACGCGATGTGCTCAAACAACTGAACTGTTGACTTGGGATAATTTGACAATTGATATTGACCCTTTGCTGTCAACACTCCCACCCTCCTATCGCAAAGCCTACACATTGCCAACCGGCTGTCAGTCCGCCAACTGAAGTATTGGCGAAATGGAGAACCAATCGTCTTGTAAGCAACCTACCCTGCCATTCCGACTACCGACTTGATAGTGGTAAAAATCTTCATCCTGGGGTTCCAAAGTGACGACCAGCTTACTAACCGGTTGCTGTGTTCTTTCGCGATATCTAGGGACTTGCGATGCCAACAATGCCATCCAGATCTCCATGATCCAACCAGCTGAAGGCAAACTTAATGCGCTCTCCACATTCCGGCCCGAGTTTACATACCCAATTTTTGGCGAGGAGGAAACAATATTTGGCTACAAGGGATTGAGCATTCGACTGCGCTATTCCGCGCATGATCTCCGGTCAAACATACATATTTCATACGATGAGAGATTCAAGACGGTTGCAGATGTAGCCCCGGTGGATTTATTGAAGACTTTTGGTCCCTGGCTGCCAAAATGTAAATCCACTCTTGCGATCGCAGGTTCAAGATAGTACGACTAATGTCTCCCACCCTTATAGCTTCATTCACATCTTTAGAGGAGTTTGAAAAATCACTTTTAAATGATGAATCTGCGAAGGACTTCAAGCCCCCAGGAAAGCTTGTTCACAGCTACACAAGCAAGCAGAGGTATTATGAAATCTGGGCTGGTTCCTTAATCGACCCGGAAATCCGGACAATACTCGATCGCATACAAATATTCGTCTCTTTCTTCGTTGAGGGAGGCACCCCCATTACAACGGATGATTTAGAATGGACTCTACAGAGATGGACGGTCTATTTTGTGTAAGCACCTTGATGTCCACGTAGACTATTCAATTGACTTCGTACTAACTTCTAATTTCTTTTCTGTAATAGCTACGAGAAGATAGATCCTCCTACCCCTAACGCGCCATCATACTCATTCGTAGGCTTCGCAACCACGTATCGATGGTACTTCTATCTCCCTGAACCCAGCAACACCAAAAGCCATAAAGTCATCGACATCCCCTTCCCTTACGCCGAAGAAATTTCCATCGCCCAACTACCTGCCCGCCTCCGCATCGCCCAATTTCTCATCTTGCACCCCCATCAGCAATCCGGACACGGCTCACAACTCTACCACACAATCCACTCCGCCTGCCTCGCCGATCCCACCTTACACGAACTCACCGTCGAAGACCCCAACGAAGCCTTCGACTATCTCCGCGACAGAAACGACTACAAAACCCTCGTCCCAGAATTCCTCAAACACAAAATAAGCATAAACGCCGACCCGTATCCGCCAGACAACGAAATTGGCAACAACAACAGTAAAGACACCGAGACGAAGAAAGCCCGCCGCGCACGCCGTCCCCGCTTTATGCCCACCTCCTCTCTCATCCCCACCTCCACCCTCCACGACCTTCGCATCCAATATAAACTGGCTCCCGTCCAATTTGCGCACATCGTCGAAATGTACCTCCTTAGTCAAATCCCCGCCTCCCACCGCGGTAGCGGCATGGGCATGGGCTTGGGTGCTGGCGGCACAGGGACAGGTAGCACACTCACGGCACGCCTGCTCGTGCAGAAATGGCGCGCGCCCAACGAGCATGATCGGCGGTATTACTGGTGGCGCATGCTTGTTAAGCAGCGGTTGTACAAGCGGCATCGGGATTTGTTGATTCAGTTGGACAGGGATGAGCGCTTGGGGAAGTTGGAGGAGACGGTGGGGAATGTGGAGGAGGGGTATGATGGGTTGCTTAAGGCTTTTGAGAAGCGGGTGGCGCGTGAGGGGGAGGGGGAAAATGGGTGCCTTGGAGGTGGAGAAGGTGGGCCGGTGAGGGAGAGGGGGAAGAGGAAGTTTATTGTGTTCGAGGATGAGGATGACGGGGACGGGGACGGGGATGGTGGTGGAGAAGCGGGAGCAGCAGAGGGGGGAGTAGAGAATGTGAGGGATGCGTCCTCGACGAAGAAATCGAAGATTTGAGGGGCTAGTCCTGTGTTACGTGCTCTATTTTTTTCTCTTCTTTTCTCGACTTTGTATTATTTTCTTTTCATGGGGTTTACCCTTTTTCCCATGCCTGTTTGTTTCTTTCATTTCGCTAATGTATTGATGAGTTATAGTTCGTGGAATGTTTGGAGGGTAGTCGGAGTTGTTCTTGCTTCTTCTTTTTCCTTTTTGTTTTATTTCATTTTTATCTGCATCCATCATACCGCGGGCGCATGTTATATTTGTACATGTAACTAGTTGTCTATCAACTGCAGAAATTGAGCTCAACGGCAGTTAAGTTCTAATAATAGGACGACTTTCTTGCTTTCTGTTAAAGCTACTGGGGAACAGCAATTGTTGGGGGAGGAGACAGTTATGCCAAGGAGTAGAGTGAAATGGTAGCGTTTGTGAAGGTGGAGTAGCCCGATACATACGCAATATACAGAATCAAATAGACAACGTGAGGTGCAGAAGATGCAACTAACGCATATCATTTGTCATCTACACCGTACTTGGAATATGTGATGGCATTTGCAGTGAGATACGGCGTCGGGCTTTTACTCCGTTTTGAGTTGCTGGAGGAGTTCGGCTAACGTACGGAGTATACGACTTTCTATTAAGTATGAACAAGTCAAACATTAAGATATATGGCATCCAGATCAGTGAGACGTATACAAGAGGGTGATCGCAAAAGGGAAGAGATAAAAAAAGTAGTTGGTTTAAAATAAGAGGGGAAACGGGGGAAAAATCAGAGGTAGGGGCTAGAAGAAAACATGAAATACAGCCGTAGGGAAAAGGACAACACCCCCCCTTATTACCAGGACAAACCTAGGAAGTGAATAGATACCTAGGTAGTCCCAACCAGAAACCAAACTAGGGCTAATGTTAGAACTCCATATTAGTAGGAAATGGGATATACCAAGAACGTAAAGGGGAAGTGAAGGGAAGCGAAGTAAAGGCAGAGTTGAACTTTGGCTCTCCATCCAGCCCTCTCTTTTCAATGGGGCGGAATAAAAGCTACGTCTGAAAGACCGGCAGCAAAGTAATACATCAATAAATAAAATGAAGTATATAAAAATCGTTATATCCAGGAAACCCCTTGCTTTCTCTTTCTTAAATCTGTACAGCTACCCACTGAACATCGTCGCCGTCTCGGGATCCAAACTATCCAATGTAAGTGAGGAATCCGTTTCGATGCTCAACACTGTGCTTGTCCGCGGCGAATAGATGGTGGTAGTCAACGGCGCAACCGACGATGGCGCTGGCGTCGACGAGCGACCAACACCAACACCGGGAGCTGTGGCGGGGTAGGGTAATTGGGAAATATCGCTTTGATAGCTCCCGGTCCCTTGATTACCAGTTCCTCGACGGCGCGAATTATCGCTACTGCGGTTGTTATTGTCGTCGTCATAGTTAAAATGCATGTAATCTGGCCGGACAAGTTCGCCCACGAACTCGAGAACCCTACGGAATCCGAGAATCTCTGCTTGAATGGCTTCTCCTCCTCCTTCTCCTGCTCCTGTAGCTCCCTCTTCGCGCACTGCTGTCATATTACTAGAATTACCGCCTCCGTTCCCACACTCCTCATTAACCCTTATAAGCATGTTCCGTTCCTGCTGCCGCCCCTGCTGCGAATGTCTCGAAGCTTCCACTTCCCGTCCCCTGCCCCGCCCAAAACGATTGTTCCACCACTGACGCCATCTATATCTGCGCGCGGCATTTAGGTACGCATTCCGCGTACGGCGTTCCTCGCGACGGGTAGCGATATCGACACGTCGCCGCAGCCAGGAGGGGGAGTTGCGGCAGTGTTTTATGAGGACGACAAAAAGAGAGGCGATTAGAAGGATTATTGCAAGGTCCTTTAGCAGGATGGAAGGGTTTCGAACAGAAATATCGTGACTATTAGGGATATTATGGCCATGTAGGACATGGCGACACTTAGGGGGAAAGTTTTGGTTAGGTGGATGTTGATCGTGACAGTTGGGGAGATCGTCATAGTAGTTAGAAGGGGGAGAGTTGGTCAGGTGTGTTGGGATGGTGGTGGATTGAGGAGTGGAAGTAGAGCTAGAGGGATTTGGAGATGGAGTGGATTGCGGTGTTGAGAGCGCGTTCGGATTCAGGTTGTTGGAAGGTGATCCTGTGTCTTGGGAGGAAGGGGCTTGATATGAGGCATCTGGAGGTGGGCGACATGGACTGCCTGAGAGAGAAGACGGGAGTGGGCCAAATTGGTGCTTTACAAGGCGAAATGCGTCCGGAACTATTTCGAATGAGGTCCTGATGAAACAAGATAAACTTGTGCACTCTTTAAGCCGCATTGCCATGGATTTACAGTCCTGGAGTAGATGCTTTCGGATTTCTTGTTCTTTGGATTTAATCTTCTCCTGCAGCTCCTGGGCCTGGGCTTTAAGGGAATGTAAGGTTTTAAGGTCATCGTACAGAATGTAGTCGCTGCTCGCGGTTTTGTCCGTAGAGATCGGTAAATTGAAAGGGTCAAGAGGGTCTACCCATGAGTCAAATGCATTCTCGTCTGAAATTTCAATAGGAGATGCCACTAGATGGTATATCCGGGGAGCTCCAACTGAGTTGAACGAAACCGCGAATCCCGACGTACGATCATTGTCCGTTATCTGATTTGTTGGCTGGAAAGTCACTGTGAGTATTTGGGCAGTGTATTGCGCTCCAACACCTTGAGGGCTAGATATGCAAAACCCGAGGTAGTTGAGAGACAATTCATGGGTTTGATATCCGCTGGTCATGTTAGCAGGGAAAATTCCGGAACCGATCCCATTGTCGCCATGCCATACGAGGTCCAGGCCCCGATGATTGAGGGTGACATTTGTCTCCCCACAGGCAAATTGTGTGCTGGAGATGCGAATCTCAAATATCTGGTATCTCGAAGATCAGAACTTACTTATGATAGAGAAGAAGCGGCAGAAATTTATTAACATACATAGCTGATATCAATGGAGCCAAAGCAATTGTCACATAGAGACGCGAACCTCACAGAAGTGCTATCGTCACTATCTATATATTTACAGGCGACACAAAGGTTAGTTTCAGATGTTATAACTAACAGTGTAGAATAAAAAAGAGAAATCACTCTGACCTGACCATGTCTGCACAAGATCATCATTGCCTGTATATTCATCATCGTCGAAAGATCTCCTTCCGTGTGGAATGACATGGGAGAGTGCGAACGTGGAGGAGCAAAACCACAGCAACAGGGAGGAGGCGCGCACATGCATATTGGATCATAGCGCGGTGCCACGCTCAGTCATTGACCATTGTTAAGCAGCGGCAAGTCTCCGGAGATACTCTATTTGTGTATCTCTGCTCCAACATTATCTGCACACTCGGTCAATTAAGCACAGGTTGGATTGAGGCTCAGCTCTCATGGCTGCGTATCGTATCCCCCGGATGACTAATTGTCCGCAGCTTGCAACTAGCAGATTCGGATTAACCATGTTCCAGCTACAGGATTAGTAAGTTCGGAGGTTTGTCTGGACGTGAATTGTAACTATCAAACAGGAAAAGAAAGAGAATGCGCTGGCTGACTTGAGAGAGCATTCTTCCTGATCTATACTGAGTTGGATGGGCATCGTTTGATCATGGTATGTTCATAACCCCCCTGCCCAGCCTTCCGCAATTCTTCCCCTCGCCTCCGGCCCTGTCAACAACCATATAGCAGCAGATACTCCTATACTAACCCTTGCCTCTATTTCATCCAGCTCCCTCTAGGCCTTTTAACAGCTGCCCAAGGCCATCCTATGCTCGTCGAGCTGAAAAATGGCGAAACCCTCAACGGCCACCTTGTTAACTGCGACAACTGGATGAACCTGATCCTCAGAGAAGTCGTCCAAACAAGCCCTGAAGGTGACCGCTTTTTTAGATTGCCTGAGATGTATGTGAGGGGGAATAATGTACGCCTCTTATCACCAATTCAACTCGCATTAATATATATACACACATATATGTATAGATCTGGGCTAACTCAACATCATTAGATCAAATACCTACGAGTCCCTGAAGAAGTCGTCGACCTAGCAAAGGACCAGCAGCAGAACCAGCCGTCGAATCGTGCCCGTGGTGGTCAACAACATCGCGGGGATGGTGGCAGGATAGATCGCGGGAGAGGTGGGGCCCGGGGTGGTAGGGGACGCGGAAGGGGAAGAGGTGGCAACTGAATTCAGAGATATTCTGTCATAACTCCTTTTCATATCCGTCCGTCTGCTTTGATACCCAGTCAATAGGGAGGCCGTGTGTCTCTGTGCGCGCATGTGTTTTTAATGAATATGAGACCTGCTCTCTTTGGGCATCCCCTTTCAAGGATATGTCCACTATGCATGGCTATTACTCTTCTGGGAAAAATCATCCGGCGTTTGTCGGCATGGGGTTAAAGGGGGATATATGCATTTATGTGCAAAAATGAGCATCATGTTTTCTTTTCTGGCTGCATTTAGCTGATACATTACAGCTTCTGCGTAACTGATGTATACGGAGTCGGCCCCGGCGGGTACGCCAGCGTTTCCTGAGACGGGTTACAATATCGATGGACCTGTTAGGCAACATTAATATTCGAAAGTGATCATGATGTATTGACTGCTCATCTATCTCTATCTGACATGGACAATTGTTTCATTCCCTATACATCCGTATCATCCGAATTATAGCGGGCATGGACATTTTTTCAGGCTTTTCTATGTCATTAATGCATCCCCTGCCGACTCCCCGAACGCCTCGCATAATATATAGTACAGCCGAGGGTCAGAACCGTTCCCGTTTATGAATCTCTCTTGTAATCACCCCCTTCCGAAATGGCGTCATCAGCCCCCAAAGCCTAGACATCTGCCACCTCAGGTTTATCTCAGAAGCGCCCACCCCCCGGGGTCCTTCAACCTCGAAACCCGCACAGGCTCAATGAGGTTACAAGGACCTCCTCAAAAGCTCCTCCTTTGGAGCATTGGGATCAACAACCTCTTGCTCCTGTTGCTCCCGACCTCGCCAATCTGCCGCATGGCTCTCTGTAACAGGCTCTCCTGGCGCTGGCTCCCGAATAACTTTCCCTGCAGTAGCTGATACCCCAGCCTCTGTTTCTGGTCCCTTTTCCACCTCCGCATACTTCCACACAACCTTCAGCCGATCCAAGGCCTTCACGCCCCTATTACTCGTCCCTCGAATCCCATCCAGCGCCTCCCAGTCCACCTCAAAGACTCCAGAATCATACGCATGCCCACCTTCGAAGTATGCATTAAACCAGACGTGCGCAACGGATGTAATCATCGTCCAACTAGTGTATGTGGACAGGGCTCGCCGGTCGATACTGATATTTACGTCTGAGGTGGGAATTATGACTTTATTTTGTGGGCGGAGGATTATGGCTGGAATGACGGTTTCCATGTCTGTAGAGGTAGATAGGACGCTTTGGAACATTTTGGACCAGGGTTTCGGTGTGGTGATGGGTTGGAATGGCGGAGCGATGTCTGAAGGTATGGGCGGCGGTGACGTATCTGGTGGGATAGTTAGGCTACCGGTATCATTCAACGTGCTCTCATCATCGTCCTCCTCTGGCGTCGGCCTAGCTTTCACCTTCCCCGTCCCATCCTCACACCCCTTCCATTCGCCACCCATTATAATCTTCTCACACCGATGAAACCGATGAAAACACTTGATCCGCCTCCCCTCCTCAATAAATCCCTCAACGTCCACCTCCACCCCATCTCTCAACCCCCATATATGCACCTCCAACACCTCCACAGGCCTCTCCACATATACCTTCCCCAGCTCCTTCGTCCACCGATCCACATATCCCACCCACCTCAGTTGGCTGGGTATACTCACACCTTCCCCGAACCTCGCTCTCATTCTCCTTTCTGTAAACCGCCTTAGCGCCTCCTCAGCTACCCACCCCCGCTCACTAATCAGAAAGCTACACGCAATCGTCCCGCTCCGCCCCTTGCCAGCTTTGCAATGCACGACAGCCACCCGTTTCCCCCTCTCATCACCATCACCATCACCATCACCTTCGTCATCCCTAACCTCACCTTCCATTTCCCCCATATTACCCCCATCCCCTAGCAACCAATTCCGCATGCTAGCCATGATATGTGGAATAAGTGCGAAGGGCGGTGGGTGGTGGTCCGGAAATGGGAAATGGTGGATACGACCATAGACCTCTTCATCTGGGTATCCCGTGCCTTCCGCCCGGAATTCCCAGATTGCCCAATTTTCGCCGTGTTTGAGGTCTAGGAAACGGACGAGGGAGTCTGTAGGGTTGCGGTACACACGGCGGGGATAGGTAGAGGAAGGTCCGGAAGTGACAATTACTAGGAAAAGTAAATCAGTATTTGATAAGACACAGTACTGAAATGTAATGGGATAGCTTTGACGTACTCTCGTCCGTCACATAGCATAAATCAAGACCAGCTTCGGGATGACGGAGTCGAGGGCCCGCAACTATCTGGCGGAGAATGGAGGCCTACTATCCAGTCAATGAAATTAGTCGGTTAAAGAGTCATGAATTTACTTCAAGAGACCATCCGGTTGCCGATCAATTGGACCGGTAAGCACAAGTTCTTAACAGCGGGCATACACACCATGGAAAAAAAAAAAACAAAAAAAACGGAGCAGCTTCACGAGGTAACTTGATCGCCGGGATCAATTATTGAATGTAAGTTCGTTTTCTATGTCAAGTTACTGGATACATAGTTTGGGGCATCCTATAAATTGAGGCATTGTTTTAGGCAAGCTATCAACTGGCAAAGATGTTGCCTAATATAGACTGCGATGGTCAATTGAAAATGGTTAGCCTTTCAATTTGCTCAGCGCCGATGATGTCATTTTAATTTTGCTGCGATTTCGGTGATTTTGTTTCCAGCAATTAACACAACGCAGCTACAATTACAAGGCGAAATTGAAAGGATAATTTTCAGAAAGTGAAAAAGAATTTTCTCGGGTATAAAAAAATCGTTATTTACAAGGCTCCCGCATGTATTTATTACCTACTATAGTAAGTACCACATCAATATCCTACAATCGCATCCGGATCTGTTTCCCCCTAGCTTCTTCTAAGCTCTCCATCTTATACGATATATATTATTAACGAACCGTAGGTCGTCTAGAAATCGGTTTACGTATCTCGGAATCGTACTGCAAAAGCTTCGCATACTGATCATCAGAATTGAAACATCGCGTGCGAACATGAACCTTCGACCCAGGTGTCAACGAAAACCCGCTATCCATCATCTCAACGAAATACCTATGTGCCTCGCGGAACCGTCCTGCATCTACGCAGAGCAGTACCAGGTATTCATATGTCATCCGGTCCGGGAAGACGTCCAGGAGAACCATCTCCTGCACAAAGAAATTTGCCATATCGTGCGCGCCTGTGACGCGGCAACCGCGGATAAGATGGTTGAAGGTTGTGGCCGAGGGCCGATGTTCGAAGACGTTAGCTAACTCATGGTAAAATTCTAGAGCGACGGTCATGCTTTTGTGGTGGACCGCCATTTCGATCACTGCGTTTACAGCTACCAAAGGCACTTTGAGGCGTTCTTTCGTTTTCATATCTGCCAGCGTCTGCCAGACGGTCCGCGGCCGGATGCTCTTTTCGATGCAGTAGGTGAAGATCGACCGTGTGGCTGTCTCGCCAAGCTGAAAAGTGGCCTTTTGGGCAGTGCAGAGGACGCGCAAAGCAAAGTCAAGGTCGTCTGCGGCGAGGTAAGTGTCGACAAGACAATTATAATCTTCTAGTAGGAAAATGCCCTGGCGCTCTCGTAAAACTCGGAAAACTTCGCCGGCTAGCCATGTATTACCTGTCCGCGACGTCATTATGAGGATGTTGCTGCAGACCCCGTAAGGCGGATTAATGAGGCCGGGCTGCACGCGCTCTTTCCATATGAAGCCGACGCATTTCTCGTGGAATGACTCGCTGGCTGTGACGAGGATGTGAAACCACAAGTTTGGTGAGAGCTCATTTCCGCTATTTATCCATTTAACCATCAATTCTAAGATCATGTCGAAGTCTTCGACTTCACACAGATTATATATTAATAGGCTGTAGAGCCATGGTTCGACTGGGATGTTCTGGGCTTGCATGCGAGATATGTGGTCCAGCGTCATCTCAAACTGTCCTTCCCGGATGAGTCCAGTTACGATATTATGCCATCCTTCAGGCGAAATTGTCAACCAGCGGTCGCGTAGGGTGTGAAGGATTTTCTGGCGTAAGAGATAATCAGGGTGCACCGCGAGAACCTGGTTATTGATTGCCCTCCGGCATTAGTATAGGTGCAAATCAATCTTCTGAGAACGAGGAGAAGAAGGGCATCTCTAAAACAAGGGGCGGCCGATACCTTCAATACTGCATGGAGAGTCGCCGAGTCAATTGGTATGTTATTCTCTTCCATCTCTTTTAGTAGGCTTCGGACGTGCTTGGAGCATCCCATCAACGCATCGGTATTAGCCGTTATCAGCACGGTGTAGTGCCATGTTTGTGGCTGAAAGCCTCGTCTCCGGATAAGCTCCCTCATTAATTTCATGGTCAATTTGTAATTCGGGATTCCCTCGACCGTCTTCCGTAGTGCCCTTTCAATGTGTCCATCTGTTCTCATTCGAATAGACCAATCCAAATGCGTGTAATCTTTGAAGGTTCTGTGAGGGAAATGTTTACTCCGCGGGGCTTTTGTAAAATATTGGTCTATATCGCCTGGTATTTCTGGATCATACTTCCCAGGCAGCGCGCCATTTTCCGTTTCGAGATGTGATTTCACCTCCGGGGAGAGCAGAGCGACTTCTCTCGTTCGCGTGAAGGATCGGGCGGCGGAGCAGGTACTGACGGGGGGATTGACATATTGTTTCAGCCGCCTTGGGAAGTTGGGCCACCTCAAGGGTGCCTGTTTGTAGGACGGACAGAGGCAATGCCATAACCCGTCAGCTACAATGGTTCTCGCAGGCATGATTTGGTTGGATGTCGAGGAATGGCTTCAAAACGTTTGAGCTTGCGCAAAAGTGGTTCTTCAGGCCATGATGCTTAGTCATCACTACTTTCAAAAATTTCAGCCCTAAATACATGTACATACAATTGACTAACAGTTGTCCAATGAATCTATTATATTTCCTACATGTGTAATTTAAACATGGTCTAAACGTCCAGAGTTCCTCCGATGGATATCCCATGCCAATAGCTTGCGCCAACAACTTATTGTATTGATTATCTGGACAGTTAAAACCAAAGGGGTAGCACCAGCAGAACAAATATCAAGTGAGACGCACGCCCTCCAACTCTCCTTCCCGTATCCTCTGTAACCTGGCCCTCTTCTTCCTTTCGTAAATACCCCGCACTACGCGCTTCACCTGGTATTCACCTTCCGCGAAGTTGGCTTTGGCAAGCCCAATAACGCCATCGACTTGTTCTGGTGTGTAAACAAAATTCCAAGTACTCATGAAATCGTTGCTAGCAGGGTCTATCGGCTCCACAGATCCCGATTGCTCTAGAGATGTATTTGCGTTTTCCGAGCTACTTATTGGAGCAGTTGAGGGTGCGGCCTGTTTAACCGCGGGAGCGGCAGGGTTTTTCAAAAGTGGGAAGTAGACAACCGCAATTCCGGCATCAGGATGCATAAGACTGAAGTCGGAGTCAGAATCGTCTTGCAGAGGCAAATGGAACAGCCTTTTGGATGGCGGAGGTTCTGTTGTGGATGTTTGCTCTTGGGTCGTCCCTAGCCAAACATTACAGTAACCAAGATCGGTCATTTCTGGGTTTGGTGATGATCCCGTAGTATCTTGGCTCAGAGTGGTTCCTCTGCTCCCCACATGTGTCCCTTTACTCTTGGTGCTTGGTTCCCGACTCTGTTCTTTGGCAACCAAGAGGCTCTCATCTGATTCCTTAACTGAGCTACTCGAAGCGTCCTCAATGCCTTTCGCGGTTTCTATAGCTGTTGTTCCTGGTTTTGGCCAACCAGACCCAATTGGCCACCCTTTGACACCTCTCTGCCGCGCGTATCCTTCCACGACCGAAAGCCAGTTTTCTTCCTTAATGTCGGCTGACGCATCAAAAACCACTATCATATCAACATTGCGGCCGGGGCGGAGAAGAGGGTATATAGGTAGATTGTTGCTCATTCCAGCATCCATAAGACGGAGCTCTTTGTCCGTAAAAATTGACTCTGGGCACGTTTTTGGAAGTCGATCCTTCAACCCGAGCGCGAAGTTCGGTATCGACGCAGGATCGAAAGGGTGAACACGAATCAGGTCATCACTCTTCCCTTCCAGCACGGCATCGATGCCACCAAATCCGGCAAGTCCTCGCAAAATTGGCCTCACCTCTTTGTAGTAATGAGCAAGAGTGGCACAGAATGCGCTCCCCCAGATACCCATAAACACTGAGATCCGTAATTCCGGTACGGCGAAGTCTTTAGAAGTGGGGACGTCTAGGCCTTTCCAAAATTGCCTCCCAGTTGCCCACATGGGAATTCCTGCACTGAACCCCTCGCAAAATAATTCGTACGGGGTAAACTCGAACCATTCGAACCATGTTTCTTGTTTTGTCTCTGGCTTTGGCTCATCCGATATGAGGTTCATAGAGAGACCAGGTACAGTTGTATCTTCGGGAGGGATCTCATGGCGCACAGCAGTGTATATTGGGAGAGGATTCGCGCCATTGTCAATGAAAACTCTCTGGTTCGAAAGCTTAAGGTCGCGATCATGTAAATCCAACGGGTTTCGAGTCGGAACTAAAAGCCTAGAAGTCAGGAGCAGACCATAGATGTCTACCAATCCAAATTCGGACTCCGGGCTGGCTTTCAGTTTTTCAACCAAGCCCCTCAGTAGGTATTTATTAGTTGGGACTGTTGTCAGTTGTCTAAGTACTTCGGGTGGGAATGCAATGTGAATTCCAAGCCGCTTTTTTAAGTGTTGCACTACCTTCCCAAAATCTTGACCCCCTAATGACGAATTGTAGATCGTCTGCAGCCAACAGCTCCCACTGACACCAGCAGTATACATGGTGCAATCCCAAAGCCCTGCCTCTTTCGCGGCAAGAAAAGAGCCTGTACCGGCGACAAGGGCGCGTAGGCCACCACCTGAACTACACATGGCAATTGTAGGTATATCGTCGGGATGGACATCTTTCTCCTTTAAGCCAAGATAAGCTGCTAGCGATTTGACCATAGCTTGTCTACGCCTCCATTGGAAATACCTCTCTTCGCGACATAGACCCTCGCCGATCCGAACCCGGGCTTCCCGAGTAATCTCGGGATTCAATTCAGCATCTTGAGCTTCCGACCAGATCTCGTCGGCCAAAGACCCTTCCGACATTGTTAATTCTCGTTGGAGTGTTTGGATAGTCGCGGGAAGCAGCGCCGTCCATGCCGGCGCGACATATTGCTTGATTAACTCCGGCCAATTCGGAGACACAAAAGAATCTTTGGCCACACTGATCTTCGAGGTGAACGTATCCCATGCAGATTGGGACGTTGGCAGTTCGATTGGCAGCTCCTTGGGCGGTTTGGCAAGGCGATCGCTCACCAGTGTGGCTGCAAGAGTGTCCTGCCAGACGTATCAGGAGGGGCCTGTGATATCCTCGAGCTTTTGCATGGCTGATTTAACGGCAGCGGAGTATCCTTGGAATCATCCTGCTTTTCCCATGTGCCACAATCCCGATCTGAGTTGTTTTTAATCGAATGTATTCCCGTTGAGTGATAATAGGACCCTCCAGCTGCAAAAAGCGCCGTCCACGTTAAAGGCAGTCTCCATCTTGCGATTAAAGCTCTAGCAGTGCCCATTGAAACGAGGACACCACCGGCTTCTACTATCTTATGTAATTCATGAACCACGACTCTAGCTAGGAAGCAGAATACTCAGAATGTTGCGAAATATTCAACAATTCTGCTAACCTGGAATTCTTAAATTCTAGGACTCCAGCGGGATGACGCAATGCACGTGATAGTGACTTCGGACTATATTTATTCCGATGGTTCCATTTATGGACTAGTGGCCGTCTTTCGGCGATATCATTGTCTGATCCCGCTTGTTTATTCAACAACCATAGATAGGGCTGGTAACAGCCGCTATCTGTGCTACATACAGCACATTCCCTATTGCCACTATTGATCATGCTTTAAAAACTTTCTTCTTTGTTTCCTGGAACAGCGTCTGCTGGCTGAAAACGCCGCTAGAATCCTCAAGCAGGGCGCATTCACCTAGGATTGCCAGGGCGCAGATTACTTACCTGAGCCATGGTCGGGATGCGGAACACGGTCCACGCAGAAGAGAGTGCGGAGGTGGAGGTGCTTTACGCAAATCTTGAAAAGCTGAACATCCTAACCAAAAAGATCCAAGGTTCCATGTCTCGCCTTGAAACAAGTGGAAAGGTGGTGAGAGATGCCATTGGGCCAATCTACAGCAACACACAATCGTTGCAGGTCACAAATGCAAACATAGATAAAGTCAACGAAGCTATTGATCGACTTCGGCAGCCTTTAGATGTCAAGGGGAAGGAGGAGGCTATTATTCGGGCTGGGTAAGCCGTCAGCTTAGATCAATTATCAATCTCTTTTTTGGCAATAATTAACGTATTCTCTAGGCCCCGGAGTGCTGGTTTGGCCCAATATCTGGGGGCTCTGAAAAGACTGGATCGTGCACTCTCAGATCTAAACTCTACAAACCTTCGTTCGAATCAGAAAGCCGTGTCGGAATTTAGCACCTTGCTTAGCACCGGAAGCAGTAAACTTCAGGAGATGTTCAAAGGAACTCTACGAGAGAATGTCGCCACTGTAGAACCATTGCATTATATCACAAAACGTAAGCATCTACCAATGACCCTAGCTTATCCGGAATACCACTCAAAAGACCTATAGAACTGCCGTTCCCCACTATTCCGAGTGAGACGGTTTTGGAGCTCTCGCCTGTCTGCGCCGCGATCAGCTCGGCCGCAAGCCATGGTCCACAAGTTGGACAAACAGAAAATCCCGCTATCAGGATATACGCCGATATTCGCGCTCCTTATATCACAAGTAGCTTGCAAAACCTCGCCACTGCATCTATCAACACAGCCAAGCGGAAACCAAGCGATGGCCCATATCGGCAAGGGACCAACGGTATAGGGATGTACGCTAGCGGTCTCGAGGGTATGCTCCTGGCAGAGCATGAGAATATTTCCCAAATATTCCCTGCAGAAGAGCAAGGAAAGGCGCTCCAAGCAACCAGTAGACCAGCGATAGCGGAGTTCTCAAAAACCCAACGAGAACTAAACATGTATATCAAAGCCAACTTGATGACAGACTGTTTCCTTGCGTTTGAAATAATCGAGATAGTCACTGGGCTCTCATATCGACTCGATTCAGCCACTAAACAATTAAAAACCCGCTTTTTCGAAGCCCTACGGCCGATCCGCGAGACTGCCAAGTTAGCGTTGTCTGAATTGCTGGAAGAAACACGCCGCAAAGCCGCAGCTGTGACTGTTTTACCCCCCGATGGTGCTGCCGTCCCCCTTGTAGCAGAAGTCATGAATTCACTATCCGCCCTAACGGCGTATTCCAAACCACTAGCCTCCATCCTCACATCCCTCGGAGACGGAAATTGGAAACCATCAAGCAAACCCAACACCACCCCACTAGATGTTAGTCCCGATAGCTCTGCCATCCTCTCCCACTATATCCTCGACGTGGTCGAAGCATTGCTCTCCGCTCTGGAAGCCCGCGCAAGATCCGTGCATCGCGCCAAACCCATCCTCGGCACCTTTCTGGCAAATGTCATGTGCATTGTCGACCGCTCAATCCGCAACAGCAGTGAACTATCCCGCTACCTCTCCACCCCGGAAAACAGCAGTCGACTAGAATTATGGCGCAAAAAGGGAGTCTCCACCTATCTTGATGCCTGGCGAGACCCATCCTCTCACCTCCTCGACGTCCAGTATACCAGCAGAGCTGGTGCACGTCCCACCTCTGGGGGCCAAGTAGACTCCGGTGCCATTGTCAAAACACTCTCATCCAAGGATAAAGATAACATCAAGGATAAGTTTAAGGCTTTCAATTCTTCTTTCGACGAGTTGATTATTCGCCATAGATCATTGACTATGGAGAAGGAGGTGCGTAGTATGTTGGCCAGGGAGGTGCAAGCGGTTATTGAGCCCTTGTACGCGCGCTTCTGGGATCGATATCATGAGATCGATAAAGGCAAGGGCAAATATGTCAAGTACGACAAGGCAACATTGTCCGCACAGTTGGCGGCGTTGGCGTAAATTATCCTTATCTTCGTGAAGGGGTTTTTTACGCGCGGTTCTCCTCCCAAAATCACAGCGGCATTCCCCTCCTTGTCTCCTAGCCGTCCAAGCCTCTTGTTCTATTTCTTTCCCGGCTATTCCATCTTCGAATAACCATCTGACTTACTAATTCTGACATTCCTGATGCTCCTTCGCTGGAGTTATGGTGTCAGTGAAAAACCCTTCGATCCTTCTCTCACCTGCAATCCCCTCAAGCTTTAGCCTTTCATACTCCCCAATTCCCACTTTCCAGTTGCCTCAACCAGCTTCCTTACAGCACTTGATATCCCTCTCTATGTAGTTTTGCTTTGCCTTTTTTTTTTTTTTTTTTTTTTTTTTTTTTTTTTTTTTTGGCGGGGAATCTTTTGTTAATCTTCCCCTATCCTCCAATTCTCAATTTTGATTATTCAATATCCTTTATTTTTAACAAATTTCATCTTCGTTGCTCTAAACAATATTTAAAGTTATAGAACAAGCACAGGTAACAGAGTTAAAAGGGGTCTAGCACGTACGTATCTGCTCGCCGCATGCTCATTTCATCCCAGTGGGCTGGTTCTAAATTAAGAGTGGTTCATCAGTCTGTCAATCAGAAGGAATAAACGGGTGCCATTCTATTATCACTCGCGTGTGAAATCGGTATGATCAAAGAAATCCAGGGCTACGGAACTGAGAACTGGGAACGATTTCGGGGGGTTGCAATACATATATACATGTAAATACTACATAAAGGGTTGAGTGTGACGGAAAATGTGTCAACCAAGGCTAGCTCTCCTGTGTGTATTCCAGCCCCTCTTCCTCCAGTGTTAACTGGTGGTGATTGAGCTCTTTTGCCCCAGTAGCTGACAAAATGATATATATGATAAAAGCGAAAAAGGAGAGAAGTAGACGAGCGAGTGATCAGGCGAGTGCTTGTATCGAAACATACCAACTCAGGTAAATTTTCTAATATCACATCACATCGCTCAAGCTGTTTCATCTGACGATGGTTAGAAGCGGGAGCGCGAGGTGGTTCGACGGGAAAGATCTGTTCTCGGAAATTTGTCATGGTGGTATGTAGATATATATTTGCTAATCGTTTATGCTTTCGAATTACCTCGAGTGCCTCCCTTGATGCGATCATGGCACAAGGGGGTTGAATCCGCATTCTGGGAATTCAGAGCCGTTGACTTTCAGCGAGTTTCCTATATATATTATATACATCGCCATGGATTCGAACAAGCCCCATTCCGCTTGTCATCATGCTTCATCGAGAACAGTATATTCGCCCAAATGGTTGGGCCTGCAATATAGTATATATATATTCTGTAGTTGAAAACAAGAAAGGAAAAGGGAACAGGAGAAGATGTATGAGTTCCTTGCGGAAATCATCCAAGGGGGGGTAATAATGATAACTAGTAAGGGAAAGACATACGATAAATGGGGTATGACAAAAAAGAGAAAAGTTTAAAGAGGTAAGGGTAAGGTATTCATCACAAGACTAGTAAAACATAATGAAACGCTCAACACAGCCCTATAAATAATAAAACGTCAAATAAAAACGTATTCAGAGCTCCTAGGTCGACAGGAAACATTCCGGAGCGAGGTATATAGAGGGAGGATAAGGAAATAATCTTCCAAGTGTGAAGATATTCCATTCCACACGTATTTCCCAGATCCAAAAGAGATGAATTTCCACAAAAAAAAAAAAAAAAAAAAAGGATGCCAGCATGAGAGTTACAAAAATTATCGTGCGGTACCAGGCATTTCGTATATGTTGTCCGGAACAGGTCCGGTGTGCGTTGCACTCAGCTGGTGCGGGCTCACTGTCTGAGGTGGGGGGGATGTGCCGGCTGCGGGAGGGCTACTGATAGAGGCTGCAGGCAGGCTTCCAGGCTGGATATAACTTCCGCGATTTTGATTGTAATATTCAGTTGATTGGCCCAAAAGTGGTTGCGACTGCGCCTGGAGAGGGTTATGGACAGGTGAGCCTCCCATTTCGGCAGGAGCTGGAGTGGGGATAGGATGGTGCATATGAGGAGCATAGCCCGGGCTGTAAGGAGGCGCTTCTCCTTGGGGTTTTTGTTCCGGTTGGTAGTATCCTGCTCCAACCACTGGCGGTGGTCCACCGTAGTGAGGAGCATGCTGTTCATGCATCAACGGTGCGGACGGAGGTGGGCCTGGTGGAGCAGCATTGCTCTTCTTCTTCCGGACATAGAATAGCACAATAAATCCGACAATAGCACCAACGCCTACAATTACTCCAGCAACGATGCCGCCAATAGCACCACCTCCTAGTTTCTTCTTTCTGCCGCCTCCGGTGCCGATTTCAGGTTCATCCTCTCCACCTACCTCGTCGCTCTGCCTAGGGTTCGAAGGTGAGCTGGAGGACGTCCCTGGAAGTGTTGCAGAGGGAGAGCCGACAGATATAGAGAGGGAGGGAACAGATGTTGTTAAGCCAGATGCCAGGGTGTGATAATTGGGTCCGTAGCGCGACGAAAAGTATTCGGACATTGGAACAACTTGCGAGGAGACACCTATCGATGCTCTGCAACCAAAGAGGCGTTTACCACCGCCGAAGAAATATGTCCCGCAATAAGGCCTAGTTGTCTCTGCACATCGAGTGACCCTAGGGTCACTTGAACAAGAGGAATCGCATTCATCTTCCCAATTCAGACACTTGGTCGCGATATCGGTACATTGTTGGATATTCGAACTTGCACAACAACCAACAGCCGTGCCATACTGTACGCAGTTTGCCCCGGCATACGCACATGTCAACAGGTTATCTGATTATTCACATCGCATGGGTTAGCAGGTCAGGTATCAAATTGCGAAACTTATTTCTGAGAAGGAACAACTATGACTAACTAATATCACTGTTGACCAAACCACAATAGTATCCAGGAGCAGGGAAATCAATCGCTGTTCGCGACGCCCTTTTCGCTAATTCCTTTGGAAGTCCACGGGGGACTAGAGGCGGTGTAGTCGGGCGAGGAGACATGCCGAAAGAATCAACCATCAGATTAACGGTTTCACGAGGGAGTAACCTGTCCGACAGGGCGTCTGCCCCGAGGGAGAGCAGAGCCGCTACAAAGCTCAAGCGAACCATTGTAATCGACCAGATCCGGCCCGCGTTGTAGAGCACGATCTCTTACGCACAAAGGCAAGGCCGGGTTGATAGTCGGCGTGGGTAGGCCGAAATTGCCAGAGGAAACAGTTGCTAGTCGATTCAAGGCGTGGTCGCAGAAAACGAATGAAGGCGGCAAAACAGGGAGCCAAAGGCGATTGGCGTGGACTATGGATAAGATTAATAAATGAAAAGTGAATTGAGAAATCAAAATGGAGCCGTGAGACACTCACCTTGAGCTTTGGGTTTATTGGAATTAAAAACGAGAGAATCAAAGCCAAAGGGTCAAGGAAGGATGAGAACAGGAGAAGATGCGAAAAGCGGGCAAACTCCACCAAGAGGTATCAAACAGAACGGGATACTAACACAACGCCCGTATTGCCGAGCCTCATCCCATATTGACCAGTGCTTGGGAAGGAAGGAAAGCTGCCAGCGCAGTCAGTGGATGTGGAGTGGAAACAAACACGAGGTTCGTGCCAATGGCAGCGGTGTACTTCGATTGTTAGTCCACATAGCCTCCTACCCTGACAGCGCTAAGCTCGTAGGATGCTCTCGCTAACTTGTGGTGGGCATCTGAGCCATCTTTGGGGTTTTCGAGCAACCTTCCATACAATACAGCCCACACAGCCGTGGCCTTGCCTCGAGTTTCGCCAACCAAGCGGGACATCTGGACATCATTATTTCTGGCTAGCAAAGGAAGTTCCTTCACTTCCAAGGGGTCCTTGTATCATTTTCTGTTGCTTCAAGCGCGGTGTTACTGTTGCTTGGGTCTATGCTTCGAGCCAAAGAGAGGGAGTGGAAGTTCCGAACCCGACCAGATGGACAGTTGCGGAATCACACCTTTTGCAATCACACCTTTTGCACGATCGACTGCGACCCACAGGCTCTGCTGTTCATGATTGAAAAAAAGCCTTCTGGCGGGTAATAATGTGTGTCTCCATGTCCTTTTCCCTTCTCCTGAAGGCTGCGACTCCGACCCCCCTCCACTGGTCTCAACAGCATGAGAACAGACCCAGGATTTCGTCAGGAATGCGCTGCGGACAAGCAATTCACCAGAACTGGATAGGACAGGAAAGGGGGTTCTGGCGTTTGGTGGCTGCATGACCCTAAACAAACAAAGATGGGATGGAGGTCTTCTTCGAGACGGCGTCCGCTTGGCCTCAAACCCGCCTTTCCTATTTGGGAGATAAACAACCTCTCAGCCGCATACCAAGGCCTCCTCCACCCTCGACGTCCGCGTTCCCACTGGACAGCCGGTAACCACGAGCAGTTTCAATTCCCAAAAGGAACGCCATTGGTCATAGGACTAGGCGTTATATCGAACTAGCCAGCGTGCAGGCTCGCTTGTCCTTCCTCTAATAAAAAGCGCGATCAGACATCAGACACAACCAGCGACCTCATGGGATCAGAAAACGTGGTGGAGGAATAATATTTCCGCTTGAGCCTGGTCAGTTCAGGCGAAACACCAGGGGAATTAATTAATGGGCTTTACACCCTCACATTTCGGCTTTCGGCTGGCAGTGCACATCTTTCTAAAAATTCCTCAGGAACAACTCCGTTCTGTTCCCGCCAGTGATGCGCAGAGAAGGATGGATCGGGTTTCGAGATGCAGCGCTATTATTAGCAACAACTCATATCAACTGATCAGCTCCCCTCTCTTATCATTATTCTTGCGCTTTCTTGAGGTTCCCCCTCGTCAAGGGGGTAAAAGGAACTGTATATGTCTGGGCAAACCCAACCTAACGACGTTGCGCCATGGACTGGCTGACTTGCATTTGTGTGAGTGATGCACAACTTCGATTCAGTTTTTTGAAATGACTGTACAATGCAGTGTCCAGAATGAGTTATTTAGGACAGCCCCCATTGTTACTTTACTATGGTACAGGGAGACTCAGCGCCAAGTTGGAGCCAAATAACAGCTGGAACTGAAATAATGCTGAGAGACTAACTGAGATGTATGGAAATGAATTCAGGTGGAAGGAATATAACAAGTGAGATATAACTCTTCATTTATATTATCTTTATTCCTGTCAAGGAAACTTGAACTAACCATGAGACTTGTTCTGTACAGACTGTACATATACAGAAATCACTAGAACAATGTTTTGCTGAACAAGTAACATGTGCCAAAATCTCTCCTTCGTGCTACCAACACCAACTGCAGGGAGTTGGTGAAACAGGGCATGCACAATCATGTATGAATGCCCATCCTAACATTTTCAGACTCCAACATATGAGGAGCTCATTCTTCATATAAAGGAATGTCAGTGCTCTCTACCACTGGAATGTGTTTTGATAGTCCACCAGCCTTTCATTCTATGATTTTCTGGCTCTGATCATGAATGCACGATCATTGAAAGCGGAAAATCGGGAGTTAATAATAAATGATAATAATGATAATCTCATGAATGTACTTCCAAACGACGAACAAAAATGGCAACCGATCAAACCAAAAAAAAAAAAAAAAAAAAGCATTCACTAGAATTTATCATCGCCATCATCCAACCGACCAACCATCCGGACGGCAGAGCGCAGAGCTAACCAATAAAGTTCCGCAGCACCGTACCAGTCAGCATACCATCACGTCCAACCACATACAACTTCTCCCAATTCCATTATCATCACACCTACCCCACTCTCGTCCACCGTCCCGTTCATCTTAGGGCATACGCAAATCAAAATTTACTATATGTATACCTATATGATTCCGCATTTTATTATGCTCATGCTCATTACCATCAGCAACAGCGGCAACAGCAACCCCAGGATTTCGGCTATGCAGATCTACATGACATCAGGAACGAACGCGTGCACCTTTCCGTGCTGTCGGGTAGATCCAGAGAAAAGACGGTTGGTCGGAGTGCCACGCATGCCTGAGGCGGGAAATCCATTCGGCCAAATGTGTTCCCTTCGACCACTGCCTTCGTCCGTTGCCCGTGGAGTGTACACCGTGTATATGTGGGATATTTAGATCAAAAGCATGTTCCATTTTAACGATTCTGCTAGCTCAGGGCCATTTATTGCTGGTGTGCGATGACGCTGGTGCTGGCGCTCGTGCTCTTGCTGATGATACTGAAACTTGCTGGGGACATATGAAGCAAGATCATTCAAGATTATATTGTCAAAATAGCCGCATTCCATACTTCCAGGGGGATGTAAGGAGTGCACCAGCAGAGCTGAGGCATCTGCGAATCTCGCCCATATCCGCCCTATGCAAGTGACGTGTGTTCTGCAGTGGACAGAATTACTAACACCAGCATTCCCTTCGCTGATGTCCGCCGCCTGGCCTTCCACCTCGTCCACTTCCCAGATAGGGGACGGGGCAAGGAACTTTTCTTTTCTTATTCCCCCCATGAAATATATACATACGCTCGTGTCCCAGGGTTTACCAGCATATTTTTTCCTTTTCAAAAACTTTCTACATGTATATCCTTATATCATACCATGCTACGTTTTCCGCATTGTTCATCACTACGGTTATCATTAGATAGATTTAGGTGTAACAAGGTCAGCACGCTACAAAACATGCAGAGGGGAATTTTAAGGAGAAATAAAAAGAAATTTGGAATAATTACATGTGAACATGCCCCAAAAAATATATAAAAAATATAAAACATAGCACCATAACACTAATGGGTTATCAGCCACCAATTACACAGGCCATAATTAACCGGGAGGATGGATAAAACAAAAGAACAAATGACCAGGGAATTCATAAAATAGATCATATCTCTAGCCAGGCCAGCAACATTAATATTCTGCCCGCAATATTTAATATTCTACTCGGCGAAACTTTCAAAGCAGAGCAGCAGCAGAGCGGCTAGTGGGCCATTGATTGGTCCATTATTTGACTTTGTATGAAGCGGGCGCACATGAGAAAGGGCGGGGAAGGAGCCTGTAGGCTGTAGGCTGGACTGGATGGGCGAGACACGGGAATTGGGAATGACGTCGTTTGTTGAGCAAATTTTGGAGAGAAGAGAGACTGAGAGCCGGCAACGAATTCTCCTGCAGCTGGTGTATATCTAATGATTACAACTGTCTTGGCAGTGTTTCTTCTGTTTAGCCTGTCTTCCGGACTTCAATAATATCACGGATTATCTTCTTTTCTTCTCTTCCTCTTCCTCTTCCTCTTTTGTTCCTCCTAGTTTCTTTCTACGTTGGTTGGTCCGAAGTTTCTGCCTATTTCCTAAAGCAGAGTAGGGCCTGGTGGCCATGTCATGTGACTTGTAGTATTACTTATTTCTGTATCGAACTGTGTGATACGATACGGCGTAAATTACCCCCAATCGTAGCAGAAAGTTCCCTCTACCCGGGATATCCTTCTTTTTGGAGGCATATTGCAGGTTCCGTATACATCTCGAGCTACAGGCCCATGAAACCAGCCGCGATAATACAACAATCTTCGCGTGGATAAATGTAATGTAGGTGATTGATTGAGGGGTACATGTACTGTACATTACAGAGTGCAATGTTGAAGCAGCAGAGCAGGTACCGGCGATACAAGCGCCTTTCCACGGTACATGTACATTACACCACATCCCCCATCTTCTTGCGGTCTAAGTTATAACTGCTCTACAACAATCAACCTGTAGTATTTATTATATTGCAGCATTGTCCAGTATATATAGAGTTACCCCGGACAGAGCAGGCATCGGAGTCCATCTACGGAGTACGCAGCTAGAGAGATACACACTTCCCTACCTACCTTGACGCCCGCCAAGCCAATCCGCCTCCGCCATCGTCCCGCTTGCCCGCAGCATGTCCCCTCGCCAGCCCTGACCTCGGCATCGCATCCTCGCCCAGTCAGTCACCGCCCAAGCTGGTGGGGAGCTTCCCGTTCTCCTCCGACCCTTCTACACTACTAACTACAAACTACACAAACTACTTACCTTACCGTACTCCGCAACGACTAACCAACCACTACCTACTCACTCTACTGCTGCTACAACTCTCCAATTCCTCTGCCAACTCCAGCGCTGAGCAACCGGACCCGGCTACTATTTTGGACCCCCCCCTCGACTGCTAAATAACACTCCTACTACTGCCGCTAACTAGTTCCTATCTGCAATCCGTCATCTAAATCGTCTTCTTCTTCTGCCTCTTGCTCACGATTCTTCTGCTTTCATCGCTCCCTCCCCTCTCCTTCCCTCCTTCCAACAGGAGAAAGAAAGAAATGAATACTAGAAGCCAAAAAGATGAAACTCATTTAACAAAGAATCACTCTGATTACTTTGTTTTTTCTGGCATTACTGGTCTGGCATTACGAATCCCTATCGATCTATTATATATCTATTACTCCTCGCACGACTAGGTCATGCTACAGCGACACTAAGAGTTATTAAACGACTAATAACAATAGTAATAAAAAAGAACTGATCAGGTACGTATATCACTATGTAGAAAAAAAGTATTTATATTTATTTTTTGTTTT